TCTTTTCCAGGAAACCCACCCGCCCAGGGCAAGCGTGGGCTCCACTGCGCAATTGATTTACAAAATCCATCGAATGTTGGGATCGATGAAAGCCCATACGTGGATGAACCATTTGGCAGACCGGTGCGAAGTCGATGTTGTCCATCCGGGCTCAAACTCCCACGTCTGCAGCCCAGTGACCTTGTAGCCTGCCATCACTGCACTGAATTGACCTCAGGGGCCAATCTGCCTAGAGGATCCCCTTGTCAAGCAGGTGGATTTTGGAGGTATCCTTTCAGGAACCTTGATTCAATTACAAACCCACCAAGAAGCATTGCACAGATTGTTGAAAACTAATTTTCTCCTGAACTGGGGCCCCTCCACTGCCTTTGTTGCTGGTACATTTGAGTGTCCCACTTGAACCAGCAAACCACCCCTGTCTGAAAGCGAACTGTGGCCTTACGCCATTTTCATGTGAACCATTCCCCCAGACTTTTAGTGGCTATGGCGGAAAATGGGCTAGATCACTTCTCTAGGAGGCCTCCCTCCGAGAAATGAGCAAGAAGGCAACACTGGAGGGCTAACTGTGATCCTGGCTAGCATGAGCACAACTGCTGCCAAGCTGCGCAAAGCTACTAGGGCCTTGCCCTTCAAAATTGCCCGCCAGAGCCAAAACGCCGCATGTGGCCCAAGCTCTGCCAATCAATTCAACCGGTGTCCTTCTGCATTAGGCGCACTCAGTACCCAGCCTCCTGTCCACGGCTACGGTAAGTAGTTTTCATCCATGACTCGCTGTGTCGCGGCCGGAACAAGCAGTCCTTCGTGAGGCCGTCAGTCGATGATCAGGCCTAGGCCAAAGGCCGTCCTGTGCCCATCCAGCGGGTTGCCAGCATCTCCGGGTATATCCCATTCATGCAACTTCAGCTGAGTCATAATCAAAACCCGGTATCAACATGGTCTAACCAGAGCCATGTAAAAAAAAAGAGGGCGGCCGCAGCTATTTATGGTTGGGATTGTCCCTTACCAACCTGAATTCACCCGGGTTTTGATTGTGGCTCAGCTTTCCTCGATGTCAGGTGTTTGGGCACTTGCGCTCAATCTTTCTTCTTAAGCCAAACCCTCGAGCAACCCAATGAGCTTGGGAGAAGTTCGATTCAGCACACGATGGCTTCCAAACGACAGCCTTCATTCGACTGGCAGCGAATCCCATGGCAAAACTTGGCCTGGCCGATTCTTCGGCTCGGCGGAGGTCGTTAAGGCGCCCTGGCCGGAGCCACATGACTTCTCGGTTGCCTTCTTGTCCCCTGCGCATCCAAGTAAACCTATCTCACCCGCTGGCCATCCGGTCGGGCCCCATGAAGCTGATCATAGAGATCACAAGACTCACTCGGGTACCATAGGTGGCCTTTTGGCAAAATAGATGGGTTTCCCTGGTAAATAAATCCCATCTAAACCAGGGCCCTCTATTTTTTAAGCAAACCAACCAAAAAGGATGCCTATGATGGGTACTGGATGTCGCAACAACTGAGTTGCCGCAAGGGATTAAAAATCCCCCCGTTTTCCGGATACGAATTAATTACACGTTGGACTTCAAGAGGTAGGCTTGCGCGGGTGTTGGGCTGTAAGGTTCCATCTACCAGGGTGCCATGCTGGGTACCGGTTTTCTTAGCTACCATATGTCTCAACCATGATCCCAGGAGCTTCCCACGATGCGCCGGCTGAGATCACACCCCGGACTGCCTCCGCTGGCTCCGAAGCAGGCCCATGTTAAATGACCTGCGATGGGAAGTCTGACGTTTGGCATCCCGTGCTTGGACAATGAAATTGTGTCATTCCTCGGCTTAAACAGAAACCATGACCTACATCTGCGGGTCTTCAGCCACTCTGTCTTACATTTCTCGGTTGCGAAATCTGCTCCAGTGCTAAAAGTTTAACTTTTAGTGGTTTAATGGAAAACTCATTAGTTGGCAAGAAGTTAAAGTCCTAACATCCAAGCAAAATGCACCAACTATTTGAGCCCCCCCCTCCTGCTTGGGAACGCCAAACAATCCATTTTCGGCCCTCCCGAGTGAACTAGAAGTCTTCTGCAGCTTGTCGTTGCAGAAAAGGAATCTGAAATCGGGTTTCACGGCAATGACCCCAACATAGGCGTCATCGCCCCATGACATGACTGTTCCATCTGACAGAACGGCCGCAAATATCCGCGCGGAGGCATGAATCCCTTGCACGCCCCGCAGCCGAGGTTGAATTTGACTGCTGTCACCACCCTTGTCGGGATTGCCCCAAGCAACGTCCGACAGAAGAGCGGCAAAAGCTCCTAAAGTAGCTTGAACCTGCATCACATTACGAAGCTGCTCTTGCACTGCAGAACTGTCTCCACCCTCCTTGGGATCACCCCATGTCACCACGGTACCGTCCGAGAGGATTGCCGCAAAAGCGCGACCTGACTGCTGGATCTGCTCAACGTTCTGGAGCCGATTCTGGACGCAACTGCAGTCTCCACCACACTCTGCGCTGCCCCATGCTACAACACGTCCATCCCCACGGATTGCAGCAAAGGCGCCCTTCAGAGCCCAAAAAATCCCCTGACGCACGCCACGCAAGAGTCCAATGACGTCCCGCGTGGCTTGGATCCGTCGCACATCAAAGAGTTGATCTTGAACTTCACTGCTGTCGCCACCGCAGGCTGGATCACCCCAGGCTACAACCGATCCATCTGTCCGGATGGCAGCGAAAGCACCCAAAGTGGCTTGAATCTGCTTGACGTTGCGGAGTTGACATTGAACATTCCAGCTGTCACCACCACCCCCTGGTTTGCCCCAGGCTACAACCGATCCATCTGCCCGGATCGCTGCGAAAGCTTCCATTGCAGACTGCACTTGCGTCACGCCTCGGAGCTGGTCTTGAACTTGAGAGCTGTCACCACCACAAGATGGTTGACCCCAAGTTACAAAGCTTCTATCTGAGCAAATTGCAGCAAAAGCGGCACTATTTCCCTGAATCTGTTGAACATTCCGCAGCTCACGTCTGACCTCACTACTATCACCACCAGCTTCCGGAAAGCCCCAGGTTTCGACGGTTCCATCTGCAAGGATTGCAGCGAAGGAAGCCCAACAAGCTTGGATGCACTGCACATTCCGAAGCCGAGCTTGGACTGCAGTGCTGTCGCCCCCTCGATCTGGATCACCCCATGTTACTGCACTTCCGTCTGACTGGATGGCAGCAAAGGCGCAAAACGTGGCTTGAACATCCTGCACACTTTGAAGGCGATCTTGCACTCCAGAGCAGTCGCCGCCGCTGTCTGGCCTCCCCCAAACAACCAGGCGGTAGTTGCAGCAAAAGAGCGCGCATGATACGAGCGTCGCAGCCAGCTTTGGTGCTGGTGCGATGGCGGTGACGGCGTCTGCATCTCGAAGGCCGGCTGATTCCAAGCAAAGCTTGGACTTGGACTCCAAAACCTGACCATCGAGGGCCAGTCGCAGGACACCTTTCTGTAAACCTTTCTCTTGCACACCACTCCAGCTTAGAAATGCTCCAGTCTCCGGCGCACTGAATAGCTACAGCATGGCCGTTTGGCAACGACACATGGATTGACATCTGGGGTGCAGGACTGATTCGGCTGCGTGTCGAGCTCCTTGCTCTTCGGCAACATGCGCGCTCCATCGCTGCGTGCGGGGGTGCGCTATATCTACAACGAGCCCCCAGGCTATCGCTGTGACTTGGGTTGCCCCAATCAGTTGCCCAAAGCCATTTCAGAGCCAAAGGGCGGTAATGCAGATCGGAACTCTAGATCTATTCTCTCCGCTGGCAAAACTGCTCGGTGCCGAAGTTTGAGGGGGGGATTTCGTCCCCCGAGCCGAAATCCCCTCAAAGATGATGCCAAAGAAGCGGACAAATAGATCTCCAGGCGTCAAACTGCGCACCCCTCACCAAAAAAAACACACACAAAAAGGGAATGGGGATCTCATTGAAAGGGAAGAAACCTTTCCAGTTTTTGAGGGTCCGCCATTTGGAGACACACAAATGCAGGCGTTTATTCGAGGGGAACAGGTTACCCACGAAAATCGCACCTCAAAAGAAGATCTTCTGGGCATTCCCCAAATTCACAGGAGGAAGAAAGGATCAGGAGAGTCCTCAACGGGATTCTGGGCAGGATCCGGAGCAAAACTCTACTTGGAGCAGAGGTTGCTGGACTGCAACGAAGTCTTGCTGCTTGCTGGTTGAAGGTGACACTTCAAGGACACCAACAGCAATTTGCTGGTTCTGAGCAGGGGATGAGACATGGAAGGATCCCTGGTTCACCATCCCCTATGGCTTCCTTTAGCAGAATGCCTGAAAACCCTGGGCCATTCTCTAAGCTAGAAGCCAACCGGTGCCAAGCTCGCGCCTCATCCTGCGCAGCTGCCATGAGAAACCAGCAACGCGAGCGAGCGCCATTCCGAATCCATGGATTTTCATGGGATGATCTGATGGCGGGCGGCCCTCTGAAGGGAAAGCAAAAGGAAGCCAACCGGGGGGGTTTGTGGGAAGGGGTTGGGGGGTTTGGGGGGCTTAAAAAAAGAGAAAACACAACTGGCGCCGAGTTTTGAGTTGAGGTTGGCCTTCGAGGTACTTTTCCGTTCTGATCCGTCGAGTTCTGAATTCAACTCAACTCATCTTGTGACGTTCTTGTGACGTTCAAGTAAATCCCAATGGTATCACAGCAAATGGCCACCACAAACCCCAGTTCCCACTTGTGCAGAGGGGCAAATGTCTGGATTTTGGAGTAAGTGTCCATCACTTGAGCCTCCAGGTGCGACGGCACGGAAAGACTCAAAGCTGCGAACCCCGCGGTGGGAAAAGAGCTGGAACCTTTTCTTGGGGCAAAGGCTCATTTCTAAAGGAGAGGCCAATGCCCTGAGTGGTGGTAATTTACACGTATCTCTGTGAGCAGGACTCCTCCAAAAACCCCACCACTCAAAGCATTGGATTCTGTTTGAAAGTGAATCCCAAAGCCAAGCGGGAATGCAAGGAGAGCGCCCTTAGAAGGCGCTCGCAAATGCCCGTGCAGCCATGTCGCTGTTCAGGATGTCATTGACTTCCTGTGGGAAGGTGCACCAAACAAGGAAGCCTCCGTTCGGTGAATTCCCCGGGAGACAAATGGAAAACAAATGTCCAGCGATAGATCCCCTGCACCACCAACAAAAAAACACATAGATCCCCTGCACAACCAACAAAAAAAACCTATTAACTCAATGGAAGAAAGCAACGGAGAGTGGAGCCACAGGCCGACACTTAGAGGCGGATCCATTTTGAGCCAGCCGCCCCGCAGCCTGCCCGATAGGATCCCAACTCGTCTAATCCCAAAGCCCGCGCTGTCTGGCTTCCGAAAGACCTGTATGTTGGGGCAATAGGTTTTGGGAAGGGTTAGAGGGTGGAGTTCCCTTGATCTGTTGGTTGACTTACAGGAAAACCTCCAAAAGTAAAGTTGAAACAAAGGACGTGGAATCCACTAGGAACGAAACGGCCAAATGCTCCACAAAAGCGCCCCACGTGATTCTAAAGCTGCCCCTGTATGCTAAGGGACCTGTAAATTGCCCCCAAGGATCCCAACAGAAAAGTCAGCGTTCACAAGGTCTCTCCTTTTGGGCGAGAAAAAAACATCGCACCAACCGCCAGTTTGAAGTACCCGTTGGTCTCAGCAAATGAGCCCTACCATGCTGATTAGCTTCCTTTTGGCTTCCCTTTCAACCAACCCAGAAAGGGCCCCCGCAACAGCAACGCAGAAAGGGGTCCCCTCAAACCCTCCCCCAGTGGCCATGGAGAAGCAAACCCGCCACGTGTTTTGGTGGCCGATGCTCCAGGGAAACGGGGTTCCGCTGTGTTGTTATTGTTGTATGCCCAGCTTTCCTCGAGGCAGTGGTTAGCCAGAAAACATAAAACAAGTCTAACCTCCGGTGGACAGGACGCCGTACCCAAACCTTAGGTGCAGGCCAACCACCCAACATGCACCCTCAACACACTCGCAGTCTTTGAGATTCAGACTGCCCCAAATTAAATGGATACTGTGTTTCCGTTTTGCTTCCCCTTACCCGCCAATAAGGGGGTCCCATATCTTTCTTTGAGATCCTTTCTGGCGGTGTGCAGGCTAAGGCTTGAAGCTTGCACCTATCGCTTCGACCCATTTGCTTACTGGTTGTTAGGGAATGAGAAATGGAACGACCCCTTAATCCCCATCCCCTCTGGTTTCCTAGGGAAATGCCAAACCGTTCATTCCCAAAATCCGGTCTTGTTGTCATTCCCCATCGCACCGGCAAGGTTTTGAGGGTAAGCTGAAGGCTCAGTGGTTCGCGCCTCATCCACTGGTCGGGATTCCTTGCTGCGTCTCAGTGGGGATTGAGGGCCTGCCCCCGGGAAAAAACATCACCAAAACAAAAAAACTCCAACTGGTGGTTTCCTTTCAGGGAATCCCTAGGGTTCATTCCATTTCTCATTCCCCATCGCACCAGCAAGCTTGGACGAGTTCCTACCCCCCCCGCTCCTCCCCCCCCATCCCCCCCCCGGCCCCCGCCCCCCGGCCGCTCCTGGCGCAGCTCTTTGAGCCTCAGCTCCCCGCGGCGGTCTCTGGCGCGGCGCAGCAGCCGGGTGGCCGAGGTCTCCGAGGCGAAGGCCTCGCCAGGCGTCCGCCGGGTGGCGCCGCGGGATTTTTTCGCGTTGTCCCAAACACCCGCGGGTGCCCAGGGGGGGAGAGGGGCGCCAGCAAGACTGTCTGTGAAGACGGCACCATGTCGTTCTTTTTCGTTGGGGACCCGAAACGGTGGACATGGTGTCACCTCCTGAGTGGATGGTCTACCGATTAGAGTGACTCAAGTTCAGAAACTCAGGAACTGCGTTGTTCCGACTGCGCTGTTGCGTGTTCCTGTTTTTGTTGTGACCATGATCATTCCTCCGGTGCCTGTATTGTTTTTGCATTTGGATTCCGCTGCTATGAGTTCCTTGAGTTTCAACAATCGAACCCATGCAACTCCTCAATTGAACGCGGGACTGTGGAGATTCCTCCAACGGTGCCTGTTGAGAGGTCCATGTGCTGTGGGTCAAGAATAGGTACCCAAAATTGAACCCTGGAAAGAAGTCGTAACATAGACTAAAACCTGCAGTCCATATGCTGGTGGTTTATTTTTGACCCATACCAATGTCAAAAGCGCATCCACCAAATCACCACAGGCATCCCCTTCTGTACCCCAATTGCTCGGCTTGCAAACCCGGAGCTCGGGAATGGCGCTCGAGCATGGTCTAGCCATGCGGCAGAAAGTCAGACAAAACGGGGCACACATCAATCCCCCCTCCCCCCAAAAAACAACAACAAAAAAAAACACTCCCCCCCTCCCGAAAAAAGAGAGAGAGAGAGAGAGAGAGAGCAACACGAAATGGAGCCTGCTGCTGGAAAACCAGTTCTCCTTCACCTTCTCAAGGGTTCCATGTTTGTGTGGAGCCACCGCTGTGACAACTGTTTTCAACTTCTGGACGGGGGGCCAGGTGTGGGTGCAAAATTCGGGGCCCTCCAGGTAGGACTTCCAAAACAATCCAAGAAGTCCCCGATTTTGAGACACGTCCATGTGGCAAGTTTTTAGGAAGCAGTATAGGGGACAGCATGGATCACGACTCTCGGGCCAAAGCACCTTCTGACGACTACCCATGCGTGATCACCTAGAGAAGCTCAGCTCCCCAGGAGCTGCATCGGCACCAAGTAGATGTTTGCGTGTCTCCTTTTTGGTGTAATCCTTTCTCAAACGGAAAGCCAATGGACGGCCGGTTGTTCGTCTTTTTCTTTTTAATGTGCTTTTTATGTTGTGCGGTTTTGTCGTATGTTTTCCTTGACCCGGGGGGGGGGGTGCCTGTTCAGAGACCAAACCATTACCAAAGTACCTCGGGCAGTCCGTTGTGCAACCCAAGAAGCCAAGGCTCTTTGAAAAGGGGAATCCCTCAAAACATGACCCTGAGCCCTGGCCTTTTTCACGAAAAACCCACAACCGGACGTGCACATGCCTCCGAATTTCAAAAAGGTTGTGTTTTCAAAAACCAGCGGTTTTCCCGGGTTTTTTGGTGGTTTCCTAGAAAACAGGATCCCTGGAAGAGCTACCCTTAGGCGGCTCCCTACTTCGGGTGGCAGCGATTCACGGCTGGCGCATGCCTCGTGCTCGATGCCAGGTCGCTCCTCCTTCCTTGGCCGGATTGCGCATCACCCCGGCTTAGGGTTAAGACAGCCTCAAAAAGGGTGGCCCTCCACTAAAACAGGCGTTATCCCAAAAACACTAAAAAACAAGCGTTAACTCAAACAGACGCGAGTTCCGCCCTTGCTGCTTAGTGAACAACCTTTGAAGGGTGCTAACTCCAATAAAAGGCAAGTAGGTCGTCTTGGGGAGGCCCTACCCCTCAGATTCTGGAAATCCGTAGCATGCCTTGCTCAAACGAAAGGCCCATACCCGAATTCTGAGATCGCTGCTTATCAATGTATTTCCCACTGAAGAACATGACACCGGAAATCTTGAGGCCTCCTGGTTGGGCATGAGCTTTCATTTGCCAGTCTGGAAACTGTATTCAAAAGGCGCCCCGAGATGCCTTTAAGACTGGAAACCCTCCCAACCAGCGAAGGTCCCTTCAAGATACATCCAAAACCCACAAGTTCTGGGCTGTCCTCAGATACCCCGCGACAAGTTTAATTTTTAGCGGGTTAAATGGACATCGCCACTAAACACTAAAAGTCTGAAAAGCTAAGGGGATGGCTCGAAATCACCAAGGTACTTGGATCCTCTAAATCACATGGCATTCCTGACGCTTTTTCACTGGCCACCCAGGTGTTGTCTCCTTGTTGCTGGCGGCATGATTTGACCACGATCTCCCAAAAACCATCAATAGAATGACCCCCGTTTTAATTTCCCTCCCCCCTTTGGTTGCGCGAAACCCGGGCCCTCAAGCCCCGGCTCCCAAAAGGTGCGCTGCCAGTGGGGCGCTTTGTGGGGCCCTTTGTGTGGGGGGTCGGTTTTCTCCGGGCCGAAGCGCCAGCCAGCCACGGCCCTGTCCATGGCCTGCCAGTCCTGGCTGTTCTCCGCGTCCTGCAGCGCGTCCACCAGATCCTCGCTAGCGCAGGAGGCGGGATTGTCGCTCTGGAGTGTTGGAGGACACGAAGACTGAGTCGCAAGGAGAACACGTGCTCCCAAAACTCATTTTGAGAACTTAGGTGGTTAGAACCCTGGGGGCAGAGTGTTGGTTGCTTCTAAACTGATAATTAACTCATTGGACCATGTAATTAAGTTGGCGCCCGGTAGTCCTTTCAAATGGCTTCTGTAACGATCCAGGCTCCGAATTCCTTCAGCTGAAGGCAGAGCCCCCAAATCTTCCAACCGAGCCCCGGGCCCACAAAGCGCCCTGCCGGCGCGTCAGCTCCTCCAGGCCTCGAATGCCCCGCCCATCCGTTGCCAACATGGCGATCACCAATTGATCAACTTTGGATTCGGGAAAATCCTGCGACCCCAGAAAACCCTCCCACCCATTAACATATAGGTCTGACGTTCCGTCCCAGGAAACTGGTCCAAACCAGGACCGTCAGCTTTGAGCTCTCCTGTTTCGTGAGGTTTCAAGCCCTAGCTGCTTCTGCTTGGCAGGGAAAAGCCGCTGAGATACCCCTAGTGGTAAAGCTAAAGTGGGTCCCCGTGACTGCTTTGTCACTGAAAACCCGACTTCCCACAGCCAAACCCCCTCGGACGTATCCCAGTGTGCAAAGCCGCCCGGGCGTATCCAACGCGTGGTACATGTGGCAGAGTCATTATGGCAAAGAAACCCTGAGCATGTCATCTTCGCGCAAGCCATCTGAAGGTCTGGTCTGCAACGGTGCACTTGCTTAGAGGAAGACTCATCGGGTGGCTTGCCTTGGAGCGATGAAACCACACACACAAAAGAAAAAAAAAAAACATAGTTTTAGCGTTGCCATCGTGTAACAGTAACTTGATATTCACCTTACCGGGGCCCACATCCTGCATGAGCTTCCAAGGAAAACAAAGGCACGCTCACGGGTGTCCTATGTTGGGAAGAATCAATGAAGCACCAGCGCGCGCCGATCCGAAGGCAAGCATTTGCTTATCTGGCCGGTCTTTGGAAGCCTTCCATTTGCTCAATAATTGTGCCACGGTGAAAACTATTGTGGTTTGACCATGGAACACCTGCTGATTTACCCCCAAACCAACCATCCATTTCCTGCTTGCCTGCTTGTCCATAAGAGCTAGTTGGACCATTTAGAGCTCCCCCACGACTCGGACCGGGTCTCAACGGAGATTGCTGCAATTGGTCTTTTTGGAGTTCCATATTTATCTGAAGGTGTCCACCAGATGTCCTATCTCATTGTCACAAAGCCCGGAACAGGGGGGGGTATGGCTGAGCTCCAACGAATTGGGTGTTGCTCTTCAGAACCCTTCTTTGGCCTAGGAATGCCGAAGTAACATCGCCCATGGAACCTCGGAACCTCGACTATTGGTTCACCCCCGGTCGGTGGCCTCGTTGCATGCCTCTTAAATCGCTTGGGGAGTGGCTGTTGCTTGCAAGTATTCAATGCAAAGGCCTGACCAGAAACTCACGAAGCAGGACCCATGGCTAGCAAATGGCGCCCCCCTAGGCGATTTCAATCATTTGATGGCATCGTTTGGTGTCATTGGTCAGCTATTTTGGGGGAGACCAATCCCCGCCCAATTTGCGGGCCCCCCCTCGCTCCAGCGAGAGTGCTGAGAAGTGGCGCACGCGGCCTTTCCTTGGTTGACGTTGGAAGGGGAGCAAAAAATGTTCAATTTCAGCAGCTAAGTGGTTGGAGTTCAACCACAAAACCACAATCAGCAAAAATGGGGGAAAAACGTTTCCCAACAACAACCACCAACAACAGCCATGCTTCTGAAACAGCGCCACTGCTTCAAAAACGTCTCCCAACAAAAGCGCCATGTCTCTGCAGCTTCCAGATCATCACGTCAGCGCGGTCCACCAGCTTCTTGGCCATGGCATCCTGGCGTCTCTCGACTCCCCGCGCGTCTCCGTCTCTCGAGTCCCACGAAAAGTGGCCGGTGGAGTTCAGAACGGGGCTGAACGGTTTGCAGGGGGCCTTGGATTTCAAGGGATGTAGATGGCTTGAAAGAGATGTAAAGGGACTTGAAAGAAGTAGGATCCAAATTGAGGCGGGCAACTGCCAGGAAGACTTAGATTCAATTTTCCAGACGCAGACCTCATCCAGCATCCCAAAACAGGTTGAATAAGAGACTCGTGAGCTGACTCCACTGGGCGGGGGTTAAACCCCTCAACTCATTTCCGGTCTGATGCCTTGGGGTTGCAGAGCGAAGGGCAACTGGGCCGGGACGCGCTTTTCTGGAGGCTCCCAAAGTGTCCTGAAAGAGATTCATCACAATGGGCTTCCGTTTTGCACTCATGTTTGTTAAAACCAACAAAAGCATACATGTAAATATGTATCTGTGCGTGCGGAACCCTTGGCTCACTTCCATGCTTAAACTGAAATGCGCACGACCTTGTGGTTCGCATGTTGCCTCTGCATGCAATGCGAGCTCGTGGTAGGACCTGAATTCAGAGTGGCAGCGCTCCGCTTTGCACGGCGTTGAAGGACACCCACAGGTTGTATTCGGTGTTCCCCACGTTTTCCCTTTAAGATCGCCTCAGGAAGAGTACATGCCAAGCGGAACCACACCCAATCACACCCATGTGACAAAACAAGTTGAATCGACCTTTCCCCCCATTCCCACTCACCTTTCATTGCTCCAGGGCAATAAAGGTTTGGAACCCAAATGCAACCACTCGAGAAATTGTCCAGGCCATTCCGTGCCGATCCGTCCTTCCGCAACCCACGCCGACGCCGACGCGACGCGGCCGTCTCGAGTCCTGGGCGTCGCTCCAGCGCTGCCGCGCCGTGGAGGCCTCCGCCCGGGCCTTGGCCACCAAGGAGCCCTCCACCTGGCCAGCGGGGTGCGGTTTTCCCCGACCGCGCGGGGCGGTTGGGACGGCGCTTGGGACGGAAGGCAAAGGCAGGGACTCCGTGTGGTCCGACCGGTGGGAAAAAAACACGAACCTGGACTCGTCGTAGTGGTGGATTTGAGCCCCAGAGAATTTTTTGCGGGCGCCAAGTGGATTCAGTCCCTGTGGACAAAGCAGATGTTTTCCAAAGGGAAGCGTTTGAAAACCCGGTTTGTTCACATATGGAGAGACAAGGTTAGTAACAGCAAACGCGTTTTCACACCTCGACTCGTCCTCGTGGTGGATTTGCCCAGTACTCACGGCGCCCGAAGAATCTGCGAGTTTGACAGAATCACAAGTTTCCAAAACCTGGGGTAACTCTTTCTTTTGTGGCTGGTTATGTTCCGGCTGGATGGTTTCCCATGCAAATCCAGGAGGTGAAATCCAAACCCAAGTCACCCAATCACCAACCTGCATCCGCCTGCTGGGCTTCCGCAGCATCTGCCGCCTCGTCTAACCTCATGGATCCGGCTTCCATGCGGGCTGCCAAGGTGTCAAAGGGTCATGCGAAATTGCAACCAGCCCATCACCTTGTGCAAAGCTTCTCCGCAAACGGCCTTCAGGGGTTCACAAGCAGCCAGCTGGAAGCCTTCAGGGGATGGCAAATGGTCGGCATGTGTCTTGTTGTGTGCCCTGCGTTAGAAATCACAAAGCACACTCTGGCTTCATGGATCCCTTGCTAGAAGTTAAACTTGAAGTGGGACATGTCAAAAGTCCCCCTAAACTCTAACAGCAATCGTATGGCCCATGGCTGAAACTGCGGAGGATGATTTGTCTGGGGCTGTTTACCTTCAGCGCGTTCTCTTCGAGCGGCTGCTCTAAGGAGACCTGGTCCGCGTGTAGCACCGCCTCCTGACAAACCACCGCCACTTTGCCGTGCCCAAACCACCGCGACGCCGAACCTCCCGCGAGTGTCCAATCATGGTCCATTGGGAAGGGTCTAAGGCGGGGGGGGGCTCTCTTTGCTCTTGTCATGTGCTTTTCATGGGTGGAACCTTTCTAGGGGTCCATGATCCAACGTCTCCAGGCTTGCTTCCATTCGACCGGATAAACATTTGGCCTAAAGGGAGACCACATCTACTTCCTTCTGCCTACCCTTGTGGTTTTTTGTCATGTTCGGGGCAACTCACTTGCCCAGAGGCCAAGAGGGCCAGAGGGCCTGGTGAATGCCCAACCGCAAGCCGAAGATTTACATCCACCACCGTTTCTCGAGGGTGAAGATGAAACACAATGCCAAACCTCGGCCCAGATTGCAGGTTGACCTTCTCTTTGCACAACTTGACAACAAATCACAGAAACTACTGTCATTCCGAAACCGGACAAAGTAAAGAACATTCACCACCTGCTAAGCTCGTGGCCTGCCCAGAACAATTTGCGCAACAACTGAGCAAGCAGGTGAAAAGCTGGATTCGCTCATTCACAACTGAGCGGTGTTCAAGGGAACTTCCCCTCCCCAATCGAGAAGAGATGGCGCCACAGGTGAAAGCCAAAACGAGCCGTGACATGATTAACATGTGTTTTCTTTTTTTGCTGGTGGGATCTTGTGAGACAGCCACCCACACCACATGCGAAAGGCAGGATGGAACCCGATGACTGGGAGGAACCACCCAGTAGAAGCTGGTGTCTGGAGTATCCACAGTGCATTGCTTGTCCCCACGGCTCTGGATGAATGAGCCACTGATTTATCAACATCTGAACTAGTAGTGCTTCACTTTTCGCTGCAATAAATTGGGGGAAACAACCTCTTGCAAGCTTTCATCCAAACGCAAAACCCTGCTGCGCCGACCCAAGCTCCGCGTGACCTGTGCCTTGCAGAAAGAACAACCTCAAGTGGCAGCCACCAAACGAGCCAGCCCCGAATATTTAAAACATTCACGGTGTCTTGGATGCGCATGAAATTGGTCACTGGCACGTGCTGAGATTCTTGACGCTTGAAACACTGATCAATGAACTCGAACGAAAGCGTTTCATCTGCGGATGGGAGCGCATCTTGCCTTGTGATCTGAGCGTGCGCGATTCTTGAGATATGATGGCTGTGCGTGTGAGCCCGGCAGGTTGGTTTGTGGGTTCAGGGTTGGTGTAGGCTTTGCTGAGGGTTTGTTTAGGGTTCGTCTGGGGTACCAGGGGTTTAGGGCTGGTTCAGGGTTTAGAGTTGGTTTAGGCGGTGGTTGTGTTTTGGTGGGCTTGGGGTGGTGTAGGGTAGGCGGCTTGGGGTGGCTTCGGGATGGTTCAGTGGTGGTTTGGTTTGTTTGGGGTTCTGTTAACGGCTGGTTTGAGCTGGGTTTCGAGGCTCTGAGTTTAGGATTGGCTTATGGTAGGTTTAGAGTGCATGGGGGGGGAGGGTTAGGGGTTGGTTTGGGGTAGGGATAAGAGTTGGTTCAGGGATAACTTGTTGGTTTGGAGTGGGCTTGTTTGAGGTGGTTAGGGCGGGTTTAAGGTGTCTTTAGGGTTTTTTAGGGTCGGCTTAGGTCGGTTTATGGTTTCTCTCTCTGTCTCTTTGCCAAAGTGCCCCCTCCCCTCCCCTTGCCCCCTCCCCCCTCCCCCCTCGGCTCGCTCCAGGCGCCGCTTGTAGAGCTGGCGCTTCAGGCTCACCGCCGCGCCGCTCACGGCGCGGAGCACCTGAGGGCCGTCTCCCCACTGGCCAAAGGCACCCCCAGGATTTGTTGTACTACCCTCTCTCCCACTAACATGGCAACTCACAGGGCCCTCCAAAAGGAAACTGGTCTTCCAGGTGCCCTCCCACAAGCGCCATGTGGGAGGAGGGGTACACCCCCCAGACCAGTTCTATCTATCCTGGCTCTTCCAGCTCCAGTCAGTTCTTGCTATACTAAGGGGCACAGACAACTGGTTTGGTTTCCTTTTGGTTTACTCTGAGGGTTTTTGTATTGCACCCTGGGGTTGCACCCTTGGGAAATGGCCCAAAATTATAAAAATGGAATGAACGTAATTCCAGGATATTCCAGGGCCCGCTTCCCCCAATTTCATGCTTCGCTTGAGAAGACGCTTGAGGGAAGCCCCTGGAATACCGAGTTCATTCAAAAAAGCGACCCCCATGTTAGCTTCAATAGGAACAAAAAGCAGACCTCTACGCTTTTTAACAAAACACGGAGCGAACTACTATGCTACTAAACATCCATCTGCTGCACCAGTGAAGGTTAAAAAAGCGGAACCAATTCTGCGTGGCTTGACCACTTTTAACGGGAACCCGTACCAAACCGGGCTCCTGATTTCCACTTGAATCGACCTTTTGGGCTCTCCATGTGACAGAGGCTGGGGAGTTGAAAGAGACGCTGCATCTCTTGCTGGTTCGATAAGGCAGGGAATGAGGAATGGAATGACCCGGAAGACAAAAATAAATCCCCATGGGGTTTCCTTCAACGCAATCCCCAATATTAACAAATATCATTATATTTACTTTTGATTGTAAAAACTATAATGATTAATGGCAACGTAATGATTAACAATACACACATAATAAAATGATCATAACTTATTGTATAATACGGTGCATTCCCAACATCCGGAAGGGTCATTCCCGACATATCGCACCAGCAAGATCTAGTGGCAATGCTCCGAAAGCCTCGCTTTGCATGTGAAAGGCTGACAGGCCACAACCAAAGAAAGAAACACCACCAACTGACACCACTGAATTGTCGGTTGCTCATGCTGCTCATGGTGAGGTTCTGGAGAAACAAGAAGTGAAAACCCCAAGTACACCAACTTGGTCTAGCGGAAGGCTGACACTGGCAACATAAGGATTGCTTAAACGGATCTCACCTACATTCGTCAATCAAGGCGTTCATCTCTCTGAGGACTAAAAGGGGACACCCCCAACAGCCCCCATCTCTCAAAATCAGCCAGGTGTTTTGCTTAATCCGGGGTTCCCACTACTGACTACAGCCATGGCTGGAGCAAAGGAGCGGTCCACTGCTTCTCCCGCTGCAGCGCGGAGGTCCAGCGCTCCCACTGGGCGTCCTGCGATGACCCTCCCCCCATTCCTTCGAGCGGCTTGAGATGGCCAGCCCCAAAGCACAGGGGCCACCAAAACTTGTGATTCTTGGTTGCTTTCAGCTCCTCTGGGGGGTGTGGGTGTGTGTGGGGGTGTGGGTGTGTGTGTGTGGGCGTGTGGGGGTCTAAAAGTTTACCTTTTAGTGGTTTAATAGGGAAAGCATGATTTCAAGCACCCCCTGCCCAGCCAGTCCTGGATGTGGGCATCTTTCAACCTGCCAAAGAACGTCAAAATCCGGGGCATCTCGAAACATGCGGGTTCCCTTTGAACCATCAGTTGAACCACACAAAAAGGGCGCCGAGCCTCAACAAGCGCATCTCCCCATCGGCCCCACATTCCGCAGCTTGAATGCTCCGGGTTTGTGAGACCAAATGGGCATATTTGGGCGTTTATTTTTTGAGGTAACCGTTTCTGGGGTTTTCGCTGGACGCAAAAAGAAACTGGGTGAACTTGAGGGTGTGGGTTACGACTTTTTCCATGGGGAAGCAGCTCGGCTCTTGGATTGGACAAATGCATTCGTCTCTATTAGTGCAAGCTTCCTCTTGGACTTGGCCGCGCATCGGATTCGAGGCCGGATTCGGCGCGCCTCTCCACGGCACTTTGCAAGGCATCCCATCGCTGGGCCTGGGAAAATCGCCGGGTTCGACGAACCTTCCCCTGTCCAAACCTGGACGACCTGGCTTCAACCACCCACGAAACACCTGGCCTTGAGGAAATGAGGGTGTTCTTGTTTAGCCCGTTGTCAAAGTATTACACCAGGGGCAAGCAGCCGGAATGTTCATGTGGGTAAGTTTTTCTTGGGGCTGACAAAACCAAAAACTGGCAGAACTTTGCCACCTAACTATGTCCCAACTGCATATCTCTAGCCACTGCATGAAGGTCAAACGGGCAGCGGAGTGGGCAGCGTGCTTCTTCACTTCTGGACTGGGAAACCCCGAATGTTGGTTTTCAAAGCGACGATGTTCATGGCTCAAAGTGTCACTGCTCAGAAGCTGACACGATGTGCCGCGGCATGTTCGCATATGTTAGCCATGGCCAAGGAAAGGTTGGTCTTTCCTCCCCCCTACCCCGCACAAAACGAAACTGTTTGCCTGTTAGTCGGACAATGGACACTCTGACAAAGGCAACCGTCAATTCCGGTCAATGCTCAAAAAGGCAACCACAAAGGGTGACCTAGGATTGCATATTACACACTGGGTGTATAGTAAACTACCTAAGCCACGGGATGTTATCCCCAACATGTACCAATTCTATTGAAAGGGACCTGTCAAACTCCACACGAGGCTACCCAAAAGGTCCACCATGACCCTTGACACGTCCCAAAATGTCTGCGTATGGACAAACCACGGGGTGCCTTGTCAACCAGGATCCGGGATTCCGTCCATCCACAGCATGTTGAAAGTCGGAAAAAGGAGTTGGATTCTCAAGAAAGGACCTATATGAGCCTTGAATCGGTAGAATCGATTGCGCTGGGACCCCTGAGTAGTAAGTGGTCACCTCCATTTGCTGAAACATATTTTCAGTAGTGATAGATTCCCTTCAAAACCAACAGGGGACAATTTCAACACATTCGCTCAAGCGAATGGAAGGTCAGCATTGCATCTGTCCAAGATCTTATCGCGGCGCCTGGAACCTCCTCTCAGCCTCCTCCACCTGCTTGGCCAGGTGGGCGCGAACCTCAGCTTTCGGATCCCGGTCTTTGGAGGCTGCATGAGTCTTACCCCTCTGCGTCTCGTTGAGTCACGTTTTTTCAAGTTTAGAGTCCCCTATTTTGGCACCACCCTGCTGTAAAGACCGCAAAGTTTAGCGTTGTTTCAAGGGAATATAAAAGGAACACCGCGATGTCTGCTGGCGTATTCAGGCACATAACCAAGTCCACAACTTGTGCAGCCAGGCAGGAAATCAACATTTGCTCAAGGTGAAAGGCTCAAGGTCAAACCAAAGAGCAGCCAACGATAATTCTTCAATGGATCCCCTCTTGGTTAGCTTGCTCAAGAAACCAAGCCCCTTCTTGGTGAGCACGGAAACAGATTGCACCACAATGTGCCTGGTGCCCAAATCACTTTCAGTGGCCAACCAGAAATTGCCCTCTTTCTTTTGCTCACCCCTCCCCCCCCAAAAAAAAAAACAACAAACTCTAAAAGATTCCCTGCAAAAAACACCTCTTGGTGAACCCCCTCCATTCTTGCTCGACGGACACCCCTCCGCACAAATTTACCAAAACCACCTCTGGTGCCCGGCTGGGGGTTTGGGAACTGGATTGCCCGGGCACGTGCTGACCGAAAATCCCTCTCCCCCGTAACCAAAAAAAAAGATGTTCGGTGACCGGACATGGGGAATCCACCGAACATGTGCCAAACAAGCCATGCTTAAAACCACTTAAAAAAGGTGGACACACATATGCCAGAACTAGAGACCATTCGGAACCCTGGGTCTTTGCGAGCTTCCCCTGCCTGGCTGGAAATGAAGGTTTGACCAACTAAGGTCCAGCCTTGAGGGATGTGAACCTCCAAAAATGTCTGCAATCTTTCTTTTGGTTGCACCGGTTGCACCTTTCTTTTGGTTCCATCATGTTCCATCCACACACATGGCACATCTGGTGCCTCAGCGTCATGTATCCTGCACGTCTGCCTCTGTTTGAAGTTCAATCTTGGCTGGCAGGGCAATCGGGAGGGCATTGTGGGACAAATTGTGTTTTGCAGTAGTCTAGGTGAATGATAATATTTCACCAACCTGAAAAAATGAGGTTGGGAGGATATTCCCCACATAAATCACAATTTGGGGTGAGGTCGTGTGAGGTCGATTTAGTTCACCCAGACTAGTAACTGGCCCGCGACGTGCTTTGTGCCTACCCCAAACATCCCAAGCTGGCCTCCCCTAGATGGTCCGGGACGAATCGCTAAGCAAGCGACCATGGGTGCATTTACCACGGTCAGTTTTTTGGTTAGCGGACGAAATCGGGGGCGGGGGGGATCGGTCGGCTCGGCTCTTCAGGCTTCGCTGCTTCGCACTTGGGCGCGGGCCATCTCGGCCTGTAAGATCGCCTGATATTCCGGGCCTTGGGCCGAGACCCACTTGCAACCTGTGGCCCAGGCCTGGGGGAAACCCTCCAGGTCCGCTGAGCCGGCCATATCCAATCATAATATGGGGGGGCGTTGATCAAAGGGCCCTTTACATGGATGAGCATTCGGGGAAACCACTCAAACACACGTTGTTTCACACTCAATGGCAAAAGCTACTCATGGTCATTTGGCGGCTAGGAAGATTAATTAATCAACCCCAATATGGGTATGTAATGAGTTTTGGGGAGACCCCGCTCCAAATATGTGTTCCTTCTGTTTCCCTTTGAACCGGCTCTTAAAAAGCGTATCCCCTCAAAACACACAGAAGCCATTAGCTTCATTGGAGCCCGTCGCCATAAAAAGTCAGGCCTTCACAAAATCCAATCGGCCGATTGGCAGGGATGGATAACACCCCATGAATAGGATAAGCCACCTACAAACTGCAAGAGTTTGTCCATCCAACGGTTGGTACAGGCTAGGTCTACTGGGTTGCTACTGGGTGAGTTGAGGGACTGGTGGCTCGGCCTGTGCCAAACCGCCTGTTCCCCTCGAAACAGCAAGGGCGCGGTTGTCAAGCTGGTCTGGACTTTGCCCCTTGCCGCCTTTTCACGCGAAAATGTCCTTTGCTATGGCCCCCCCCGAACAGTGCCAACAGTCGTCTGGGGCCTCTAATTTACAAGACGTACTCTCAACTCAACCCATACTTAATAGAGCATTGTGAAGTCTACATGTTGTACTGCTAAGAGTTAATCTCAGATTTCCTCAACTAGAATAACCCCTTTAAAAATCAAGTTCAAATGTTTGCTCTTGGAATTTCACCACCCCACCCCAAAAGCTTGATGTCGAAGAGAACCTCAAAACATTAAGACTAAACATAATCAAACCTGCTAAATGTTTATCTAAAAATCGATGGCCTCAAAGACAGGAATTCAAACATCCAACTATGGCCAAAAGGCGGCAAGGGCTCAGATCAACCACCCCTTAAACGTCGAAGGCTAAGGCTTTGATCTGGTACGAGTACGTGTGTTTGGTTTTCCCCCGGCAAATCAACTTTCTATTAAGGCGACCCTCGAACAGTCACAGGAAACGCACACACACACACAGCACACAGTTTCTACCAAAGCGGCCCCAAGTATTAAAGCAGGCCCGCCATTACCCAAAAAGAAATGGATGGTGGCAGCTTTGAGGGAGACAGGCGAAGAAGACCCCAATGGGCGAACGCGTTCGCCCAACCCCCAGGATACAAACAGCATTCAGCTTCATATCAATATTTGGCCAAGCGAAAGCAAACATACTTCTGGCCCCCCCATGACCATGGGTAACTGTTCAAAGTTAGTGGTTGAAATATCATCTGTTGAGTAGTGTTTTCCCAATGGCCATCCCATGTAAAGCACCTTTTGATCAATCCCAATATTTGTTTCGGAGCTTGGTCCCCAAAATCGGAGACCGCGCGACCGAATCCCACCTACCTTGTTGGGGCCCCAACCCGATGCGGTGCCTCCTTCTCCCGCCTCTATCTGCCAAGCACCTGCCATTTGTGCGAAATTCCTGGGAGTTCCGCATCCCTTCTTGTTGCATCCGTGTTGTCTTGTGCGAAAATGATATGTGTAGCTCAGCTAGAGTATGAGACCCTGACACCATGGGCTCTGCTAGACACGTACTTGTCCTTCGGCGGCGATGGGAACCCGTTGAGGGAATCCTGTCACTGTTGCGGCTGGTGCTCCGACACCTCCTTCCGCACGAGTCCAAGCTGCCTTTCAGACTCCCCCTCGGTTTGCTGACAGGGTCCGCACGGTTGTACTTTCAGGTCGCATTGTTTAAGGCGCGGATGTATCAACTGCGGTTGTCGCGCTTCGTCTTTCTACGCATAGACAATACGGCCTTAAGGGCCTAAGGCCTTGAGGCGTTCTTACGTAAGCCTTGGGAAGCCATTCGCAGGGTTCCCGGGGAGTTCGGAGGGTTCCCGGCAGGTTCGGAGGGCCTTATGACATTGCGCACCTGACACCTGTCCAACACAAACACCAGGAGCCCTTTCGGCCTTTTGTGCGCGAGGGGTTCTTTGGTACTCCCTCTAGGCGGCACAAGGCGGTACCAGGGTCTGAAAGGAGCCATGTCTTCTTGACAATCCCCCATAACCCATTCCGCTCATTCGACAGAAGACTTGCGCTGGACTGGCCTAGCACTTCCTGGAGCTCGACCTGGAAACAGTTCGCTGGCGCCACAGGCACTGCAAGTTCAGCTCACACGAGGCTTGCCCAACATGCACACCAATTTGCTGCTCGGGGAAAACGAGGCTGCATACATAGGTGGCCTTTTGAACAAATAGTTGGCCCTGGTAAATGGAATAAACCCCATCTAAACCAGGGCCCTCTATTTTTGTTAAGCAAACCAACCAAAAAGGACTGCACGGTTGTTCCTGAAGACTCCTCATGTTCGAAGCTCGAGACGTCCATGGCCCACCCCTTCCAACCCCAGAAGGGTGTCTTAACCATAACGCACGTGCAAGCTCGGTTGCGAAATCTGCTCCCCTGCTAAAAGCTTAGCTTTTAGTGGTTTAATGGAAAACCCATTAGTTGGCAAAAAACATTTGAAGTCCTAACATCCCTTGGCAAAATGCCCCTCTGCAACGATGGTTTTTGGGTGTGCGCTTTGTGATGGCCCCTGTTTCTGGGCATAGCACTTCGGCCAGTCACACCTACGCTTTTGGAGGTACGGACAATCAAGCTTCCCGTCTCTGGAAGCGATCTCACCTTGAAACATCTAAAAAGCTCAAAACGGAGCTTCAGGTCTGCAGAAACAAAGCTGTTGGCTTCATGGACTGAGGGTCCAGGCCTTTTCTCTCACTACAAATGATTTGCGGGAACACACCATATTTATCCACAAGGTTGATTTATCTGGAGTCATTCATATATTCGTCAAGCTTGTGAGCGTGTGCTTGTTGTGAGTGAATCGTGGCTCTCTGATCCCAATGTTTTACTGAGATACATTGAGTTTGTGTATGTTTGTGACATTGAAGAACTTTCTGTGTCCATTCAGCTTTCAATTTAAGAGGGGGCCATACACGAGAAGCACCCTTTTTGGATGGTTTCAGACGGTTTCAAGGGTATCAACAAACAGATGGTAAACTCAGGAGCCTGACAAGAAATCAGTATTGCCCCTTTACGTTTGTCGGGAGATGAGCATTAATTAAAAGTTAGCAAATTTCGAACCCGAATGGAACAAATACATGGCCATGGGTCAAAATCCAAATCGTACCCCCAGTGAACATCCGATTCAATCCCCACTAAAATAGGTTCAAATGGGTGGTGAATTCACCTACCCCAAAATGGTACCATTGGTTTTGACCCACAGCCCCCTTTTCCGACGTTCCTGAGTTTTTGGGTGCCGGGCCAGGTCGCGTTGCTGCGCTGCGCAGGCCCCTTTCTGCGACAAAAGGCTCAGAGTGCCTTGGGCCTCCGACAGCGCAGAGTCCTGGCCGAAAGTAAATGAAGCAATCTGCCAACAAGCTTAGATCAATTGAAGTGAAAGGGCGAAGGTCCATATTAAACATTGTTAGTTTGGGGTAACTCTACGTCTGTGACCAGAGTTGCCACGCCAAAGAAAGTCGGCAGAAGATCGCGCGAAGAGGTTCTCTCTTCGTGCCTGTGAGGGTACATTTGCGGCCAGGCAAGCAATTGCCTGTAAGGTTTCGCTAGATCGGCTGGGCGCTGCTGGCAAGTGAGAAGCAACCGCATGAAGACAACATAAAGCACTCCAGACTTAGGGTCCGGGTCGATCCGGGTTGTAAAGCATGATGCCCGCCCATGCGTGCGCAACATGCCTTGGCTGTGTTGCCCCTACGGCACCAGCTGTCCGCCTTGTTTCTAGCGTCAGTCCTGCAGGGCAAGCTGCACAATATCCTTGGCACCGCAGCTGACTTGCCGGAATGCACATGCAGTCCTGTGACCCTAAGATGCCCAGTGGCCATGGAAAAAGGGCATCCCTTTTTGGTTGGTTGACTCCAAAGGGGAACCCTTCCCAAAAAAAAGGAGGAAAGGGCGCCACTGGGCAACTGGGAACCTTTCCATTTGCATGAGGAGCTGTATGAGAATTAACTACATTCAAGGTCGTGGGAAGGCACTGACACCCTCGCAATGACCCAAGAGCGGGGGGCTATTATGCACCTGCGTGGGAGAATCGTATATAACTTATGCCTTGAGACCTATATTGACGCAACCTGTAAGCTAGGGAGGGAGCCCGCAAGTGACTCTGACCATGTGCAGGCCCTCCCAAACAGAGAGCTGACTGTTCAGACCATTGGAAGTTAGGCACCCTACCTGGCCCTACCTCGCCAAACCCGTGGTAGGGTATCAAACACTTCTTCTTCGTGAACTCCACTTCAAATGAACAGGACCCAACCACCAAAACAAAACAGCACACATTTCAACCTTGGCAAAGGGGACCTTGATGCCCCCGAACTCCACTTCCAAGGAACAGGACCCAACCACCAAAACAAAACAGCACACATTTCAACCTTGGCAAAGGGGACCTTGATGCCCCCGAACTCCACTTCAAATTGACAGGGCCCGAAGACCAAAACAAAACAGCACACATTTCAACCTTGGCAAAGGGGACCTTGATGCCCCCGAACTCCACTTCAAATTGAACAGGACCCGGAGACCAAAACAAAACAGCACACATTTCAACCTTGGCAAAGGGGACCTTGATGCCCCCGAAAACACTTCCAAACAGGACCCAACCACCAAAACAAAACAGCACACATTTCAACCTTGGCAAAGGGGACCTTGATGCCCCCGAACTCCACTTCAAATTGAACAGGACCCGAAGACCAAAACAAAACAGCACACATTTCAACCTTGGCAAAGGGGACCTTGATGCCCCCGAACTCCACTTCAAATTGAACAGGACCCAACCACCAAAACAAAACAGCACACATTTCAACCTTGGCAAAGGGGACCTTGATGCCCCCGAACTCCACTTCAAATTGAACAGGACCCGAAGACCAAAACAAAACAGCACACATTTCAACCTTGGCAAAGGGGACCTTGATGCCCCCGAACTCCACTTCAAATTGAACAGGACCCGAAGACCAAAACAAAACAGCACACATTTCAACCTTGGCAAAGGGGACCTTGATGCCCCCGAACTCCACTTCAAATTGAACAGGACCCGAAGACCAAAACAAAACAGCACACATTTCAACCTTGGCAAAGGGGACCTTGATGCCCCCGAACTCCACTTCAAATTGAACAGGACCCGAAGACCAAAACAAAACAGCACACATTTCAACCTTGGCAAAGGGGACCTTGATGCCCCCGAACTCCACTTCAAATTTCAAATTGAACAGGACCCAACCACCAAAACAAAACAGCACACATTTCAACCTTGGCAAAGGGGACCTTGATGCCCCCGAACTCCACTTCAAATTGAACAGGACCCGAAGACCAAAACAAAACAGCACACATTTCAACCTTGGCAAAGGGGACCTTGATGCCCCCGAACTCCACTTCAAATTGAACAGGACCCGAAGACCAAAACAAAACAGCACACATTTCAACCTTGGCAAAGGGGACCTTGATGCCCCCGAACTCCACTTCAAATGAACAGGACCCAACCACCAAAACAAAACAGCACACATTTCAACCTTGGCAAAGGGGACCTTGATGCCCCCGAACTCCACTTCCAAGGAACAGGACCCAACCACCAAAACAAAACAGCACACATTTCAACCTTGGCAAAGGGGACCTTGATGCCCCCGAACTCCACTTCAAATTGAACAGGGCCCGAAGACCAAAACAAAACAGCACACATTTCAACATTGGCAAAGGGGACCTTGATGCCCCCGAACTCCACTTCAAATTGAACAGGACCCAACCACCAAAACAAAACAGCACACATTTCAACCTTGGCAAAGGGGACCTTGATGCCCCCGAACTCCACTTTGAACAGGACCCAACCACCAAAACAAAACAGCACACATTTCAACCTTGGCAAAGGGGACCTTGATGCCCCCGAACTCCACTTCAAATTGAACAGGACCCGAAGACCAAAACAAAACAGCACACATTTCAACCTTGGCAAAGGGGACCTTGATGCCCCCGAACTCCACTTCAAATTGAACAGGACCCGAAGACCAAAACAAAACAGCACACATTTCAACCTTGGCAAAGGGGACCTTGATGCCCCCGAACTCCACTTCAAATTGAACAGGACCCCAAGACCAAAACGAAACCGCACGCATTTCAGCGGGCGATGTTGACGACGGAAAAAAAAAAAAATCGGCCGCCCGCTCGAGGCGCATCGATGGCACCGGCGACTTCCAGTAAGCACCGCTGCCGGAAGCCCGCGGCGACTCGCTGGACCGCCGCCTCCGCACCTCGGCGAAGCGCGCGGGAAGCAGATGCCTTGTCTCAAGACAATGATGCCCAGATCCCAATTGCCACTAGGCAACCAGTCATTTTCCTCTTGGGCAAATAAAGGCTCGTTCCTCTTGGTTGTTTTCTTGGCTTTTAAAGACAGCCAGTCATGTTCCTCTTGCTTTTTTCAAGGCTGGTTCCCTTGGTCGCCTAAACGGGTAAATGAATCCCTGGGATAGACAAAATCCACTTCGCACGCCAAATATGACTTCTCTTCAAACCAGTCCTTTCGGCTTCTCTTCGAACCAGCCCACTTGACAGGAAGAAAGGAGGGCCCGACAAAAGCCCCCCTGTATGGCCGGATTTGACGTGGCAAGTGCATTTTACCTTGGACCATGTGGTTTGATCTTCTTTGAGGCGGGCCTGGCAGGGCATCCCTGCATTATGACCACACGCACCCAGGACAGAGCCTAGAAGAAGTCTTCGGGGATTGAAAGGCCTTACCCACGAAGCCAAGTTCCTCCGAGCAAGGCTTGAACTTAAGGCTTATCAATCAATAACTATATGTGTGGATGCACATATGTACACAGAGGACATAACCAAACATAATCGTCATCAAATCCCGAGCGCAGCGGTCCTTACAAAAGGTTTTGATTTTTCTGCCATGGGCATGGATAGTGACCCATCCCTGGGCGCACACCCAGGGGTGCAGACAAAGGTCTTGGAGGTTGTGGAGGGTTGGGTCCAAGCGGAATTCTGCCAAACCAAAACGACCCATAAGCAACAAGAGAAGCCCTCAACATGTGGCCACTTCAAGTTGGCCCGTTTCGCGACCTCACAAACGGTTGACCAGCTGAAGCTAAAGGCTACTCCGTCCGGCCAGTAATGCACCCCGGTTCAGTGCCCCTGGCAAAAAAAAAACAACAACTTCAAGCCACTTCTTCGGACCTTTTCTCATTTTAAAAGGGGAAGCCAGCAAACAAAGGGAACGTGGGCTGGCCTCAGATCCCACGTTCCAAAGCTTAACTTTTAGTGGGTTAAATGGAAACCACTAAACACTAAAAGGCTAAGAAGCTAAGGGGATGGCTGGGAGCCACCAAGGAACAAGGGTGCCACTGAACCACTGGGCAAGGTTGTACAAAAACCAACTGCGATCTTTGCGGGGAATGCCAACAATACCAAGTCTCTCAACGTCCTTGCCCCACACGGGAACGCTGAAACACCATTTTGCAAAGCACCCTCCTTGGCTGGAGTGCTAGCTGCCTGTTGGAGTGACAAGCATTCCTTGCATTTGTTGCATTTGACCCATGCGCAAATTGGACATCGCCTGGAGGAAATGCCCTCAGATGTTTGCCGGCGCCTTTTGAATTTATGTGCCCCTGAACGGAAAAGTAGCCCTCCATTTGCCTAAGTCCCCTGGACTCCTGGACATGTTTTTTGAAATCATTCCAGTAGTGTCTGATAGAATCCCTTTAAAACCAACAGGGGAAAATAAACACATATTCTTAACCAAATGGAAGAAACACCTGCTCACCGAAAAAGCGCAAACATAAATTGGACATGAAGCCACAATGGCAGAATCCAACGCATGATCCATGTGTCAAACGAGAAGATAAACGCAATCCTAATGAGAATTCCCAACATATTCCTTCCTCAACAGAAATGGCAGGAACGCCCACCCTTCTCAAGAGTTGTTCATTGATCTCTGATGCACAGCAGGTGCGAGAAAAGCGCCCCTGGCGAACAAACATCAAGCCAACCAAGCAACAAACCAGCCAGCCAGCCAGCCAGCCAGCCAGCCAAGCAACGAACGAACCAAGCAAATAGCCAGCGAACGAACGAAACAAACGAACCAACCAAGCAAGCAAGAAAGCAAGCGAGCACTTCTTCCACTCCTTCTATTGACACGGGCTTGTCTCAAACTAGGATTCAAAGCCCTCAAAATAAGTTTCCCGCTCGGCTTTCACTTAAACCGATTCCAAAACAGGCCAGCCTCGAGCCCCTCAAGCCCAGGCCCCTCAAACCCAGGCCACCCCCGCTGTCTCTCGCCGCGCACGTCCTTGCGCGCCTTGCGCGAGCCGAGCGGCGCGCGGCGAGCGCCAGAGCCGCCCGGATGTCCTCCTCCGGCAGCTCTGCCTGCTGCGCCTGCGATTGCGCCGATGGGATCTTGGGATGGAGTCTGGTCGCGTCAAGAGCCATGAATGGCAGGCAACCGCCCATGAAGCGCCTGACTCAGTTCGTGCTCCTCCCACTCACTAGAGCTGGAGGATCCTTTGGCCATCTTCTAAAGTCAGTTGGTAAGGGAGGCTGAAATCCAAGCCCAGCTCCATTCCATGCCCAGGTCCAGGTGGTTTTTGAATGTGGGGATTCTGGCCCAGTTGTTTCATCTCCAAGAATGTAAAGCTTTTAACAAAAACAATGGGTTCAAATGAAGGGGGGGACTGTAGAAGAGGGCTTTCCCTGAGGCACCTCCAACGAACACCCACGTAGAGCCTAGCAAAGGCTCGCTTTTAAACTGGAACATGGCCAACGGATCCTGCAGCTCTAGTGGGTGGGAGGGGCACGAAATGAGTCAGGCGCTTCATGGGCAGTTGCCTGCAATTCATGGCTCTTAACGCGCTGAATGGCCGATGTGCTGGCATGTGAGATTCCGGACGGCCAGGACTCAGACGGCCATCCTGCTGCGCTGGTTCGTGCGGTCATGCTGTTGAACAAGTCTTTTCAGCCCCACTCCTTTCAACCTCTGTTACTTTGAGGATTTCTCACTAGCGGGCGTGGTTTGTTGGATGGCTTTCAACCTAGCTGCTTTTGTTTGCGACTTTTGGAAAGAGCATTTGGGGAAGGCCTGTTTCTTTGTCTCAGTATGCCCCAAAGGCCATTGTAATCCAACTGCTGGCGGTTCATCGCATAGCCACCCACCCCCCCAAAAAAAAAGAACAAACAAACATCTCTTGACCTTGCGACAGCACTGCGCCCCATTGCTTGCCCCGCAAATTCAGACAAGTTAAACTGTATACATTGACATCAAGATACAAACATTGTCATTTCACACATCTAGGGGAACACGGGTGTACAGCGTGAAAAAGCAGATGACTTGTCCAAAATCAAACTTTAAGTCGATCAAAGGGAGACTATGGTTCCTAGCCTCAACCCCCCCCCGTCCCTTCTTGCCACAAATTAGAACCACATCCAACGTGCATGGACGCGCCTTCTCAATCAGCTTCCCTCTCCCTGGTGGTTTGGATTGCTGGTTGGGATTGGTGCCCTCTACAAAAGCCAGGGCTTCAAACCTTCCCAAACTCACTCCAAACCACGCAGTTGAGTGGTTGCATTTCATCCAATAAACCACCATAAGCAAAAACGGAAAATATGAGATTTTTAACAGTTGAGTGGTTGGATGTCCCACTAAACCACCATAAGCAAAAATTGGAAAAATGAGATTTTAGCAGTTGAGTGGTTGGATTTCCCACTAAACTGCCATACGCAAAAAAAATAGGAAAATCATATTTTAGCAGTTGAGTGGTTGGATTTCAACCACTAAACCACCATAAAATGTGGAACAATATAAGATTTTAGCAGTTGAGTGGTTGGATTATCCACTAAACCACCATAAGCAAAACTTGGAAAACAAATAATATTTTAGCAGTTGAGTGGTTGGATTTCCCACTAAACTACCATAAGCAAAAATGGGAAAACAAATAAGACTTTAGCAGTTGAGTGGTTAGATTTCCCACTAAACCACCATACGCAAAAATTGGAAAATATATAAGATCTTAGCAGTTGAGTGGTTGGATGCCCCACTAAGCCACCATAAGCAAAAATGGGAAACATATTATTTTAGCAGTTGACTGGTTGGATTTCAACCACTAAACCACCATAAGCAAAAAAACGAAGAAACAATTGTAGCAGTTGAGCGGTTGGATTTCCCACTAAACCACCAGAAGCAAAAACGAGAAAAACAAAAAATATTTTAGCGATTGAGTGGTTGGATTTCCCACTAAACTACCATAAGCAAAAATGGGAAAACAAATAAGACTTTAGCAGTTGAGTGGTTAGATTTCCCACTAAACCACCAAGCAAAAACGCAGTTGAGTGGTTGGATAAGCAAAAATGGGAAAACAAATGTAGCAGTTGAGCGGTTGGATTTCCCACTAAACCACCAGAAGCAAAAACGAGAAAAACAAAAAATATTTTAGCGATTGAGTGGTTGGATTTCCCACTAAACTACCATAAGCAAAAATGGGAAAACAAATAAGACTTTAGCAGTTGAGTGGTTAGATTTCCCACTAAACCACCATACGCAAAAATTGGAAAATATATAAGATCTTAGCAGTTGAGTGGTTGGATGCCCCACTAAGCCACCATAAGCAAAAATGGGAAACATATTATTTTAGCAGTTGACTGGTTGGATTTCAACCACTAAACCACCATAAGCAAAAAAACGAAGAAACAATTGTAGCAGTTGAGCGGTTGGATTTCCCACTAAACCACCAGAAGCAAAAACGAGAAAAACAAAAAATATTTTAGCGATTGAGTGGTTGGATTTCCCACTAAACTACCATAAGCAAAAATGGGAAAACAAATAAGACTTTAGCAGTTGAGTGGTTAGATTTCCCACTAAACCACCATACGCAAAATGGGAAAACATAAAGATTTTAGCAGTTGAGTGGTTGGATTCCCACTAAACCATAAGCAAAAATGGGAAAACAAATAATATTTTAGCAGTTGAGTGGTTGGATTTCCCACTAAACCACCAGAAGCAAAAACGAGAAAAACAAATAATATTTTAGCAGTTGAGTGGTTGGATTTCCCACTGAGTGGTTGGATTTCCCACCACCATAAGCAAAAACGAGAAAAAAATAATATTAGCAGTTGAGTGGTTGGATTTCCACTAAACCACCATAATCAAAACTGGAAAACAATAATACTTTAGCAGCTGAGTGGTTGGATTTCCCACTAAACCACCATAAGCAAAAACGAAAAGAATATTCTAGCAGTTGAGTGGTTGGATTTTCCACTAAACCACCGTAAGCAAAACTGGCAAAACAAATAATATTTTAGCAGCTGAGTGGTTGGATTTCCCACTAAACCACCATAAGCAAAAACGAGAAAAACAAATAATATTTTAGCAGTTGAGTGGTTGGATTTCCCACTAAACCACCATAAGCAAAACTGGCAAAACAAATAATATCTTAGCAGCTGAGTGGTTGGATTTCCCACTAAACTACCATAAGCAAAAACGGAAAAAAAAATCTAGCAGTTGAGTGGTTGGATTTCCCACTAAACCACCATAAGCAAAAACGAGAAACACATATATATTATTAGCAGCTGAGTGGTTGGATTTCCCACTGACCCACCATAAGCAAAAAGGGACAAGGTTTCCCAACGACAACCATGGACGACTTCGCCGCCGACGCGCCGACGGCTTCGCCGCTTCGCGAAGCGCCTTGGCGATGGCCACTTTCAGCTGCTCCACTCGCAGCGGCGCCTGGACGGCGCCCTCCAAGCGCCGCGCCGCCGCGCTGAAGGCGGCGTTGCGCTGGAACCGCTTGGCTTGGCGCCTGCGAGCGCTTCGGCGAGCGCCTCTCGTCTTTCCTTTTTTCCATTTTTTTGGGGGGGTTGGGCACCCACCAACAAACGGCGGGTTAACACAAAAATGGGGGGGTGGGGGGAATGCTTCGCGCCGTAGGGGTGGCTCTTGACTTTATAGGTCGGGAACCCAAACAAAAAAACGGCGGCTTAAGAATGGGGGGGGGCCCAAAACAAGGTGGCCTCTGAAAAAAAAAGCGAGGCGAGGAGTCCACGGAGGGGTGGCGCTTGTCTGGTTTGGTGGGGAACCCCAAAACACGGTGGTTGCAAAAGGGGGGGAGCCACCCAACAACGGCGGTTTAACACAAGAATGGGGGGGGGGGGCAAATAAACCATGGCTTCCTGTTTGGTGTTGCTGTACAATCAGAAAAAAAGGGGTACCCTCACAAAAAGACACACCCACATGGGCGTCCTTTTTGGAAAGTAGACGGCGCTTGCAAATGATTGGACAGGTACACCAGGGCCCTCCATTTTTCAACCAAAACAAAAAGCACACCTATGCTTTCGAATCGTGCCAAAACATTTGTTGGGGTGCGGAACCAGCAAATACGGAACCAATTCTCTGAGTGGTGGTTTTTTGCCATTGAGCCCAAACATCATGTGATGTACTCTGTTCCTTTGGCTTACCCTAGTTCCTTTGGAGACCCCACTTAAAGGAAATCAGTTGGATGGATGAATCAATGCTCAATCTTCCGTCAGCTTCCATGGGAGCATTTTCCTTTTGTGGGCCAATTACTTGGCACCCTACCCTACCATCACCCGGGTTGCAACTCTGGCTGAAACCATAGAAATTACGGTAACGCAGTGGGTTTCCTCGTTCTCCCTTACTTGGAATGTGCAGTTGGCATCCACCGAGCCACTTTTTCGGAGGTCAAACTGGGCTCTTCAAAATGGAGTGACCAATCCTCATCCACAATCACTGGAAAGCGACAACTTTTCATTCAGGGAGGGCCTTTCGTAAGCCCGAAGACCTACCTGGAGTCTCCATGACCCTTAAAACATGGGGTCATTAACCTATTTTCAAGGGAACAGCCCGGTCTTCGGGATCCGAGCCATGAGTCATGGCTGAACCAATCGACCCGAGGCACAGGTGCAATGCTGCAAGGCTCGGATGAACAAGTTTGCTGCGAACTTACACATGTAAGCATGAGTTTTCTATCGGGCACCCTGTAAAACCCATTCAAGCGGGAATGTCCTCCAACCACTTTTGGGGTGGGTCCCGTGGTAAAACTCATGACGTGCATGGTTTGTGGAAGCGGGGGAAGGCATGGAAGGCCAACAAGTTCAAAGCTAAAAGACTTTGAAGAAACCGGTTGGGCCAGCGGCCAGCCCCGTTTGCTTTCGATCATGGACCACCCAAGATCACCCACACCTGCCTTGCAAATGAACATGGGGGGGCGATCCCCGGTTCCAAGCCGCGCTTTCTTGAGGAAGCACCGCTACAAGACACACACACACAGACCCAAGGCAAGGACCAACAATGACACACACACACACACCCACACACGCACGCACGCACGCACGCACGCACGTGCGCACGCAATTGAACGAGGCATGGTCTGCTCGCATGTAAGCATGTGAAAGCCTTACCTATCATGATGTGAATGCGCCCGAAAGGCACAGTAGGTAGAAACACGCAGCCCAAGTAAAGTTGAGAGGCGGGTGAACGAAAGCCAGCCAGCCCAGCAACGACACGTACGACGCTTGCCAAGATATTCAGAATATTCAGAATAGCAACCTTTAAGGAACATCCAGAAAGTCATTGAGACCCAAACTGGGACCAGGTCCGAATGAGAAAAACACCCTATAGCTGCAAACGTGTGGACGACAAACGTGTGGACGACAGTATAGGAATATGCTAGTGTGGGGCGGGAGGGTCTCAGAATAAGTTCCAACCCCCCCTTTGCAGGGAACATATTCCCCTTCAACCCCAAGGCGCTTGATGTTGAACAAGGCCATGTTCGACTGCTTCAGGTCCTGCATCCAACCTGCAAAGGCGAAGCTGATACTTTGATCACCCCTTTGGTCGGTTTCCTGGGGAACGCCATTAAAACCATGCCAAAGACAGTCTACGTTTCCGCTCTGAGAAGAGTTCAACGCCTGACACGAGTGCATGGCGAGTTCGTTCTCTTCCGGGAGCTCGGTATCGGTTGCCCAGATGGAAAACATATGAGCAATGGATGTGTTCCCTTTGATTTCCCTTTGGAATTACCCAAGACATGTGACCGATGTAATTTGCCTGGTTGCATGCTGCGGTGATGGCTAGCTTGGCCGATGTCTGAAGTGAGCCAGCTGAAGCAGGCTGTTGATTCAAACAGTTTTGAGTGGACCCACGAGGTAACCCGCTTGGTATTACGTACCCATTCTGTCCTTCCCCCTGTTTGGCGTGCTTTGGCCGCTTTGGCCTTTATATTGCTTGCTGATCGCTTGGCTATCAGCTCTTTTACTTTGTTGTTTCTCACTGTTTTTGTTCTGCTTTTTTTGGGGGGGCGGGGGTTGTAGGGTCCCTGCATCTGATGTGCAAGCCACAACAGAAAGCAGAGGGTCGCCCAGCCGCCAGAGAGGCCTGGCTTCAAATCGCACCCTTTCCTACAAACCGGAAGAACATAACAGGACATGTTTCAGGCATGTGCCTTTTCAATTGGTCAATGCCCCAGCTTTCTGACTCAGACAGAATGCCTGGCAGAAGAGCAGAAAAAGCTTCAGCTAGAACCTGCAACCTCCCCGCAATTGCAGGCCGCGCTGCCATTGTGCCTTGGTGCTTCCCCACCCAACGGGATGCGGCACTTCTGGGCCAATCCCTTTTGGTTTCCTCTTGGTTGACAGTTGTGGCCTCTTGAGCACCCAGAACAACATATTGTTGGACAAAAAAGAAGTGCGAAGTCTTTCCCCAACAGCCATGGAAGTGGACAAAGGGCCCTTTCAAGAGGACAGGTCTTCCAAAGCCCTCCGGTGATTCACCTCATAGTTGGAAGGGCGGCCTTTTTTTGGGGTCCGGTTTTCACTGGGCCCACTGCAGTGATCCAGAGCCCACTTCACACACCCCAAAAAAGATCCGGTGAAGCGCCTTCAATGGCCTCATCGGCGAGCTGTAGCTCTTGGCATTCTTGAATGGCCTGAGGCGTCGGGCAGAGGTTGGCCCCGTTGGTCAGAGGCCCAAGGATCATCCTTTCACGCCCTACGTGAGTTCTGGCACGTGGGTTTTGGGATGCCAACACACGGTAGGGGGCAGGGATTCTCCCGAAAAGTGAGGCTTCGCCCTTGCCCCCATCCGTCTCTGGGAACTCGCCTTCTGGGTCTTCTTTCATCAAAGGGAGAAAACAAAGGAGCCCGCAAAAGGGCTTCCAGGGTCGCTCTCAGAAAACTGGGGGGGGGGGGGGATCTCCAAACAGGTGGGTCGGGAGAAACAAGCTCCGACACAACCTCAACGGCAACTCGCTGCAGAAGTGCGATGCGACAAATCTGCATCAAGGGGATGGGCAAACGTGCCAAGGTGATGCTTCAAGCCACCTGTTAGCCCCATCTGGGTGAAGGAATCATGATTTCTTGCCCTCCCACCGTTGTCAAAGTCATCCAGGAAGTGGTAGGCTAAACAGGAAAACAGCTAGTTTCCCACTTTGAGATTCTTTAGCAAAATCTAGGCAGGGTCATCCATCCTCCCACCCAGCCACCTCGTCATGAAACTGATGGGTTCCATGGTAAACATGTTTGACGGAACTGATAGCATCTGACCCCTCTGTCGCGCGTTGAATGCTCCGAAAAAAAGAAAAAGAAAAACATAATAATAAAAAGTAGAAAATGCATGTTTCGGGCAGCTGTCAAGTTTATATTGTTTGGCAACCCATTCTGAGAACTGGCCGTCTCGATGATACACATTCACTGCTTGCATTGCTGACCTCGCAAGAGAGTTGTTGACCTTGTGTCTGATGCCCATGGAAACTGCCTTTCGCAACACCTTCCCGCCACGGGTAGCTTCTGCGCAAGCTTGTCCGGACAACCAAGAACAGGCTGCTCAGCTGACAACAAGGGCTCCGTCTCAAAAGGGGCACCCGCCCCACCAAAAACAAAAACAAAACCCTTGTGTGAAACCTAATTTCAATGCTGATGGTTTGGGGATGCCGGGTCTCACTTTTAATGACAGTCAAACTTTTTCTCAACAGGCCACCCCGAAAACGTATGTCGACAAAAATGGCTGACCCTAAATGGAGTGGCACCGGTGGGGCCCCTACGGTGGATGGACAAAACCCTGCACCAGTTGAAAAGTGGTTCATCCCAGTAGTCATAGGACTTTATCCATCCCACTTGGTGTAAACTTCTTGGTCCATCCACCCCCCCAAAAGAAAAAGTAGCACCTGCCAAAGGCAGCGCCGGCCTGGGTCTGGCTCAGTCTTAGCCCAAAGGGTGAGGGGTCCCGCCGGTCCCCCGCCTCCCGGAGGGCTTTCTTGTCCTTCTGGGCCGCCGCTTGCCTGAGTGATCAAGCCCCAGCACTCCAAGGGCCGACGCATCTGCGAGCACTGGACTCGCAGAAGCCCTCTTCTTTTCATGCGCCCAAACTTTTTTGGTGCACCTCAGGCGCCAATTGTTTTTTTTGTCACCTGCGCGCCTTGGGGCAATTGCCATCGGTCACGAACCTCAGGCGCACTTTGGTTGGCCAGATTTTTTTGGAGCCCCTTGAAAGGCTTCGACAAAGCGTGCAGGGTGCTGTGAGGTCCGCAGCGAATTTGACTCAATGACTCAAGCGGTGGCTCGAAAGGCAGCAGTGTTCACTTCGAAGAACATCCGGACTGTGCTTCTCCGGACGGCTTCCTTAGCCAAAGCAATGATGTACTTGGGGGCTGGGGGGTGACTTCGAATGAATCACGTACTGATCAGGGGAGCTTCCCTAGCAAAGAAATGATCATCTTTTTTAGGGGGGGTCCTTTGACCAGTCTCCGGATGTATCCAAAGGGGCCGAGTCTGGCTGCCAGGGCACTGTCCTGACTCGAGGGCTCGGTTGGCCGAGGAGACCCGGTCCTGGGCGAAAGGGCTCCCACCAAAAAAAACGAGCAACAATTTGCAGGTCTAAAGTTTGTTCCCAACAGGTCTGTTCGGAGCCATGCGGCCCAAGGCCCCAAATCGCCATGTGGACTGACTAGCTTGCAAGGCAAGCGGTCAAACACAAAAACAAGTCCACTTTTCGAGTCAAAGAAAGGCCCAAGGGGTCAAACACAGAAAAGCGACCACTTTTCGAGTCCAAAAAGACTGGCCTCATTATTTTACCGTGATCAAGGTCACCCCCGTTCAGTGGTGGGGTAAAGGGAAACAGCCCCCATTTACCGACTTTGACCACCCCCAAAAAACCTGTCAAACTAACGACCCCAGAAACGCCCAAGAGCTAAGCCGGCCAGGCGGCCGCCAGGCCATCCAGCGCCTCCCAGGAGTCCAGTCCCAAGGCCTTGGCCTCTTTCATCACCTCCAGGCCCTCCGCCACGCTGAAGTCCTGCCTCAGGCCCCGAAGGCCCAGGCCAGAGGAAGCGGAGCGAGGCGGCGAAAGGCTCCCCGAGAAATGGGCCGTCGGAACCCAGGCAATCCGAAGCCAACCTCATTTACACCCAGTTTTCGCCAGGTCTTTGGAAGCTTTGGGCTTCAAAAGGGCTCGCATGTGCCCAAGCTCGGAGGGGTGCGGGTGTGGATCCCTGCAAGTAGACGTCTGATCCACCAAAAAGCGTGCAGCACCCTGTCCACACAACAATGCGTGCAACATTCCCTTCCCTGGAATGGGAAAAGTCACAGGTGCGCGGAGTGAAAACTCCTGCTAGCTAAATTCAAATCCATCCCTCTACTTGAGCAAAGCCCTTGGATGAGCAATGGGAAAGCATGTGATGACGGAAAGCGCTTCTTGAAGCGCTGGGAGTTAGTGTACGAAGTTGTGGGGGGGGTGTGGGGGGGGGGGCGTTCCGGGTGATTTGCAGGTCTGGTCAGCCGAAAAATACTCCCAAAAAATGGGAGTATTTTTTGGAGCACTTTCTGCCACCGCAAGGCTGGTTTTTGGTGTTTTTCCCTGTGTTTTTCGCGCTTTTTCGTCGACGCTGCCTATCATGTCTGACCTTTTCGTCTGTGGCTCTCGCGGGCCAAAAAGCGTGCCAGTTTTACATCATTTTACTTTGCTTCCGGCCTCGCCGGACTTGGGCGCACAAGGGGTGCCGGGGATGCAGGGGATGCCGGGGATGCAGGGGATGTCGCTTGTTTTGGAAGTTTTTGTGGTGGTCGGCGATGCTGGGGATGTCGCAGGAAAAATACTCCCATTTTTTGGGAGTATTTTTTGGAGCACTTTCTGCCACCGCAAGGCTGGTTTGCAGGTCCCAGGGAGACGACACGGGGTGTGTAAGTACGGGCGCTGGTTTGGGTTGTTGCTTGTATGTGATTCAGTGCAGGAGGGTTGTGCAGTTGTTGGTTTGCTCTGACTTGGGTCAAGCTGGCAAGGGACAGCAAGGGACAGCAAGGCAAAGCAAGGCAAACCAAGGGAAAGCAAGGGCAAAGGAAGCGAAAGTAGGGGAAAGCAAGCCAGGCAAGGGAAAGCAAGGCAAAGCAAGGGACAGCAATGGACAGCAAGGGAAAGCAAGCAACAGCACGGGCAAAACAAGTCAAAGCAAAGGAAAGCAAGGGACAGCAAGGGACAGCAACAAAAAAGCAAGGGAAAGCAAGGGAAACACAAGGGAAAGCAAGGGACAGCAAGGCAAAGCAAGCGAAAGCACAGGCAAAGCAAGGCAAAGCAAAGGAAAGCAAGGGACAGCAAGCAAGGGACTGCAAGGGAAATCAGGGGAAAGCAAGGGAAAGGGAAAGCAATGGAAAGCAAGGCAACGCAAAGGAAAGCAAGGACAAGCAAAGGAAAGCAAAGGACCGCAAGGGACAGCAAGGGAAAGCAAGGGAAACCAAGGGAAAGAAAGGGACAGCAAGGGAAAGCAAGGGAAAGGGAAAGCAAGGACAATCAAAGGGAAGCATGGGAAGGCAAGCAAAAGCAATGGAAAACAAGGGAGAGCAAGGCAAAGCAAGCAAAAGCACGGGCAAAGCAAGGCAAAACAAAGGAACACAAGGGACAGCAAGGGAAAGGGAAAACAAGGGAAAGCAAAGACAAGCAAAGGAAAGCAAGGGACAGCAAGGGAAAGCAAGGGAAAGCAAGGGAAAACAAGGGAGAGCAAGGCAAAGCACGGGCAAAGCAAGGGAAAGAAAGGGAAAGGGAAAGCAGGGACAAGCAAACGAAAGCAAGGGACAGCCAGGGAAGGAAAGGGAAAGCAAGGGAAAGCAAGGGAAAACAAGGGAGAGCAAGGCAAAGCAAGCAAAAGCACGGGCAAAGCAAGGCAAAGCAAAGGAAGGCAAGGGAAAGCAAGGGAAAGCAAGTGAAAGGGAAAACAAGTGAAAGCAAGGGATAGCAGGGCAAAGCAAGCAAAAGCACGGGCAAAGCAAGGCAAAGCAAAGGAAGGCAAGGGAAAGCAAGGGAAAGCAAGTGAAAGGGAAAACAAGTGAAAGCAAGGGATGGCAGGGCAAAGAAAGCAAAAGCATGGGCAAAGCAACGCAAAGCAAAGGAACACAAGGGAAAGGAAGGGACAGCAAGGCAAAGGAAGCAAAAGCACGGGCAAAGCAAGGCAAAGCAAGGGAAAGCAAGAGACAGCAAGACAGCAAGGCAAAGCAAGCAAAAGCACGGGCACAGAAAGGCAAAGCAAAGGAAAGCAAGGGACAGCAAGGGAAAACAAGGGAAAACAAGGGAAAACAAGGGAAAACAAGGGAAAGCAAGGGACAGCAAGGCAAGGGAAGCAAGGGAAAACAAGGTAAAGCAAGGGGCAGCAAGGCAAAGCAAGCAAAAGCACGGGCAAAGCAAGGGACAGCAAGGGAAAGCAAGCGAAAACAAGGGAAAGCAAGGGACAGCAAGGCAAAGCAAGCTAAAGCACGGGCAAAGCAAGGCAAAGCAAAGGAAAGCAAGGGACAGCAGGGAAAGCAAGGAAATGGGAAAGCAACGGAAAGGGAAAGCAAGGGAAAGCAAGGCAACGCAAGGGAAAAAGCAAGGTCAAGCGAAGGAAGGCAAGGGAAAGCAAGGAAAAACAAGGGAAAGCCATCGCATGCCGTGGCAGGCGCTTTCCGTTGTTTGCCGGACTGCTTTGCAGGTCTGGTTTGCAGGCTTGGCGATTTAAACCTTGGTCAAGCAAAACGAATACCTTTGGTGCTCCAAACGCCGAAGGAAACCAGGCAGCGAACCACAACTTTTGGAAGTCGAAGGTTTGGGCAATGCCAAGTCATAGGTTCTTCCCTCGCAACGGGAAGATATCGAAATGGTACACCCCCCGGCCCGTCGGTCGAGCAGCAATGGGAGCTGCAGTATCCGGGTGACGATGCCTGTCCAGTGGGCCATTTTGTCGTGCATTTGCCATGCGGAGGATTCGACACAAGCAAGGATCAGTAGAGCGAGGGCACCCCTAGAGAGTTGCGGACGACATGACTCGTTCCCCGCCCCCCAAACAAAAGCATGGAAAACACGGTCCAGGGACCCTACCATCTCCTCCCAGCCCCCAACAAAATCCAACGATTATTTGGGATTCTAGACGTCTCCATCCATCCTTTCCAAACCCTTGTAGCTGTTTTCTTCTGGTTTTGGCTGGTTTTCTGAAAGGAAAGCAAAGGCGGGGGGGTGCCCCTAAAAGTAGGCTTTTGACAAGGACGCCCGGGGCTTGAAAAGGGAGGCCAAGGGACGAATCGCTTGGGAACGAGGTTTGAGGCTAAAGTTACCTGTGTGGAACCGTCTCAACCCAACGCTCCCATGGCTCCGTAACCATCTCCTCAGCGGGGAACCCATCAAACGTAAGGAAGATACTCGAGTGCCAGCGAACAGCTGGGAAGCAAAACAAATCAACCGCTGTACCAGGTGGCCAATGTTCCCACGCCACAGTTCCGTCATTGCAATGGATTGTTTTGCCCTTGGCTAGCGCAGTGGCGGAGCCCCCCCCCCCTCCCAGAACCTCTGTTCGGAAGCATTCTGCGGCCTATCAACCTCTCAGCCCTGTGCCGCTCAGATCCCCGAAAGCGAACTCATCCTGCAGCTGTTTCGGGTGGCTAAACTCTTTGAACCAGTGGTGCCCCATTTCTTCCATTTGCTTAAGCCCCTGGAGTAGTGACGGGTTCCCTTTCACACCAACAGGGGAAATAACACATATACTCACAAGCAAATGGGGTCGCATTTCTTCCGGCTTGTCCTGACAACCCTTTGCCTCCCCACGGAATCGCAGCGCCCTGAAATCAGGAATCCATGGAACCCGGAAGGTCGATATCCTGGCCCCAGAGGTCAGGAGGGAGGGCCGATTGCCCAAAGGATCCCAGAAATTCAAGGTGATTACCTGGGGCCATGACTAAAGATGGGATCCCAAATCAGGGAAGCCATTTCAGGTCAGTTTTCTTGTTGATTCGCTTTGGGCAAAGGGGTGCCACGGCGCATTTGGCGCATGCCATCCCCATCGCCTGGTAAAGCACCGAGGCAACGATGCTTGACCTGCTGGTTGTTGGGCCAGGTCAGCGACGTGAGCTTCGAGTGTAGCAAATACGGCCTCGCTGTCGGGGTGCGGGAGGGCTTCAAACTAGGTTCAAGGTATCGAGGTTATATGCCATACATATAAGGCTTACATACTGTGTTACAAGGCTAAGCTGGTGGTATACACCTCCATCCAAAAACCATACCTGGAAATTCCCGCATGGATGGTTGTCCTTTGGGTTTGCCTTTGGAGCCACACCGAAACCAACACATTTTAGAGGCCCCTACTACCAGGATGACATGCCCAACCCAGAATCAGACCCTGGGTTTCCCGTTGGGTGTTTGAACAACTCAGATACGACCAGACTAGCCTGTTGGAAGCCCCCCCCTTTCACTTCCAACGAGCGGCCTCCAAACCTCTTTCGCGAAAACGCTCCAAAAAGTTATCACTACCCTCCCAGGCGATTCCAGGGAAGCTCCCGGGACCCCGAAACGGAAGACTTGGCTCCATTTACAAAGGCCTTCTGGAGCTTCCATGACAGCAGGGAGTGTAGTACCTTCATCTTTCACCAATTTCACCATCTCCTTTCCAGGATTCCGGCACGAGCAAACCTGCTAGCCATTGCACTTCCCGTGCAGCCAAGGGGCGTGCAAATCTGATTGTTGGTGCCTCAGGCTCGGGTGCGTGCACAAATTTCCTCGCCGACTTCCCTGCCGCGCAGATAGTGTTTCAACAATAGACTAGGTCCCCCAGTAGAGAGGTTAGAGTAAGGGTACCCTTTTCTCTGTAGTCTATTTTAGTAGGGGAACCCTCCCCCAAAAAATGGGGTAAAAGGGCACTACTGGGGGACCTAGTAGAATTTCATTGGACACGAAAAGCAGCTTGTTTGGCGATGCTAAGTGCTTATCAACTTTGGATATTTCACAGGGAGCGGAAGTGGATGGAAGAGCCAAACGTGTTCTTCACCGATGAGTGGTAACCTTGGCAAATGGAATAGCCTCTGGCTGTGAATTTTAGCTAGGGACCCTCATGTTGGACATTATTTACATGGGGGTTCTATCTCAAAACAACAAGAATAATGCCCAACTTTCGTAGCTCGAAGGAAGCAAGCCGTGGTCCGAGACGTTGAGTCTAATCCTCTGGTGACCTATGGGTTGATTGGTCTCTTGGGGCTTTGGGCCTGAGCCAGGGGTTGGCCTTTTTGGATCACATTCTCAGCCCAAGCTTTTTGAGCAGGTCCCAAGAAAGTAGGACTCGGGTGACTGGGCTGTCAAAAAATCCGCACCTGGGTCCCAGTTGGCGCTCGGAACCTTTGAGCCGCGAAAGCGCAGCAAGTCCGACCAGCTCAGCTTCCCTTCCAGAAACCGCACGCCTGGAACCCGCACTGAGATTGGCGGACTGACCCAGTAGCATCTGTTGTGGGAAAAACACGCGTAGACTTCCTACAAGCGTAGGTGGTGTTACCCCCGTATTCACCGGGTTTCATTCGTGCCAAGTGGTGCCAAGTTGATTCTACAGTATATATGCGCGCTTCAGTGCCCAAAGAATCTGCAAATTTCACCATAATTCCAAAACCTGGGGTAACTCAGTTCCTGAGTGGATTGGGGCAAAAACACGTTCATTCTCCCAAAAAGTCTAAAGTCCAGGAATGAGTTCGCAAGTGCCAGAACATAGGTCTTCCCTTGCCCCACTCGGGCCCAATGCTCCGGAAAAAAAGAAGAAGTTTTTGACCCTGCACCCCTGGTGGACATAATGGATGTTCATCCAGCCATTATCCAGCCCAAGGTGAAGCCATAGGTTTTGTCCCATGGCCATTCGTGTGACTTTTTCTCGTTTTCGAGCACTGAAAGGAAGGACTGGGAGGTCAAGCTCCGTGGGGGATCACCCACAGCTGCCTGATGAATGGAAGCTGGGATCAATTGAGGGGGGAACCTCCCTGGGTACTGTTGACCCCATATTAATCAACCCCCTGCTTATTAATAGGGGGTGTCCATTTCGGGATGAATCAGACCACTATTGAAGAGCCAAAGCCACCCCCCTAGTTGGTTGATTCATATGGGGTGAACATTAATTATCACAAAAGCCACGTGTCATTTTGGCAAAATCGCTTGCGCTTGTAAATGGGGCACAAAACCCATGCAAACCGGTGGAACCCACCTATTTCTGCCGACAAATTCACCGATCAAGAGGGACATCTACGCCTCTCTGCCTTCAGGGAGTTGCCCCGGTCATAAATTTTCATCTAAAGCTGTTCACCAGATGGCCTGCCAAACCCTAACATGGACAATACCCTCGCCCAGGCGATTCCATGGAAGCTCCCGAACGGACCCCTTTGAAAGACTTGGTTCCATTTACAGGATCGACGTTCTGGGAGCTTTGGTAGTCTGAGGGAGTGCATTCATTTCAGCAAATGGATGCCTCTACCTGGCTGTGGCTCAAAAAACCGGTACCAAAATGGAACCCTGGTAAGTGGAAACAAAGGCCAACACCTGCGTAACCCCTCCTGCTTAATTTTGAGCCACCACCTATCACAGCAACCGTCGCCACCAGCGGGAGCCCCCGGCTGCGCCATGGCGCCGGGCTCCGGCGCCAGCAAGTAGACTTCGAAGGCGCCGAGACGCCGCGCCAGGCGCTTGCAGCAGCAAAAGTGCCGCGAGTGGTGCCTCGTGGCTAGTTGCCACCCAGGCTTGGTACATGTAAATCTGCCGGTGTGTGGCACGAACCTGACTCCCCTGTTCTGGCACAACAAAAATCCTTTTGGGAAGTTGAGTGAGAAAAAACGGCCTCCTGAAAGCAAGCCAAAGGGTTCACCTAGAGGCTTGGAGCAAACCTAAATGAAGAAAAAGCCGGGCTTATATGATAGGGCCGTTCGGTTTTTGTCCTTGACATTTAGACATTCATCCCAGGCCGCTCGCCGAACTGGCCATGGACGATTTCCCTGCCGATGTGTGGCACGAACCCTGGACCCCAATGACAACATTCTCCTCTTCTGGGGAAGTGCGCTGGGCAGCAACAATGCATTTGTTTCTGTCCTCCATGTTTCTGGGACTGGTTGCCCACCTCTCAGCGGATTCATGAAGACATGTTGGCAAATCCCTAAAGTTGCCACCAAATCCAGCCAGGAGATGTCCAGTACCCACATTCTAGTGCTACCTTCCATTTCCATTCTCTGAACCTTCTAGAAAACCTCCGGAAACCCAGGAAACGGATCCGGTTGTCTAACAGAACCTTAGACTGATGACGACTTTCCATGCTGCTCCTTGCACCTTGGCTTTTTCACTTGGACGCCAGCAAAATATTGCGACTGGATCCAGCCAACAGTGACTTTGTTGCGTTTCTGCACATGGACGTGTGTGTTTTGCCGTCTCATCAGGAAATGGACCACAGCCTCTTCCCACACCCAACATGGAGCCCCAAAATAGAGGGCCCCTCAAGAGGGGGTTCTGATAAAAACATTATGTTCTGGACGGCCATGTTCTCCTCTGCATTGAGGTTCTTCAAGGGGATTGGCCATTTACCACCCGATATAAGGAGTTGGAACCTCAAGCTGCCTTCAAATTTGCAGGATTGATTTTTTGTGTGCACGTGAAAATCGTTCCGGATTCACAGCCCCTGGTTGATTAATAGGGGCTCCGGTTAGCTGAAGTTCATCACTTTTGGAGGGGAACACCCGCCCGTTTGAAGTTCATAAGAAGATTTAGAACCCATGCCCTTGCCCAGAAAGGTTATGACGGGCAAGTCAAGGGGGCATTAGAATAAACCTAGAATTTAAGATGTCTTATTGTTCCTGGGGGGCCGACAGTACCCGCCAGGACCCCTGCGACCTCCGACCCTCCCGGCGATCGATCCGTCGGGGCGGCATCTGCTCCACCGTCATGAAGGAGAACTCCTGCGCCACGAGCCTCGCCACCTGAGCACGGCCACGGCCTCACTTCCGTGGAGGGCCATAGGGGTTTGTCGTTTTTTTTTGGAGGGTCCCCAGTTGTGGTGGGTTTAAAGAGAAACCACAAAGAAACAACACTATTTTCAGGTCCCCCCAAAAAAGACACACCCATATTTCAGGCTTCCTACTGAAAAACTTGCGATCGGTGCGGAATCGGCAGGGAATGAGAAATGGAATCACCCCTAGAAGAACCATCCAACTGGTGGTTTCCTTTTCGGGCCCCCGGGAATGAACTTCTCACATTCCCTACCTATCGCACCAGCAAGAAGATGCCAAGAGTCAGCTTCCCAATTGGCTTGGACCTCTACAAAAGCCGGCTCAAGTTGTATCCAAACCAATCCAAGCCTCCCTGCCTTGGGTTTTGAAGTGGGCTGGCATAACCATTTGTGATACAAAAGTGGGATTCCCCTCTCCATGACCACTTCTCTTGCTATCACACAACCATGGCTACGGGTTTTCCACCCACACTTGCACCAGATTCGGTTCAAGCTAGGTGTTAGGTTGGCTGCCATTGCTGATGACCCGCAACACGACCTGCCCCAGAACCCCTCCCCTTGGGAAAGAAAGAACTCCCCATGATATGAGTCTGAGTCTTTGTAGGGGACCCCTTTTGCTTGGGTTTTAAAGGGAAACCAAAAGGACAACCACCATTTTCTTGGGGGGTCCCTAACCAAAGACACACCCATATGAAAAATGTTACCAGTCACTGCGGTATCGGGCGCCTGTGTATGGCCAGTTCACTTCAGATGCGCCGAGCTCGTGCCCCTCACCCCCCTTAAGGCTCGAGGGGGTCCGAGAATGATGTTGCTTACCCTACCTGGACAATGCTTCTGGATTGAAACCCAGGGTTCCCCAGTTGATGAGGCAACCGTGCTCGTCCTCCACGATCCTGGACACTACGTTTGACCACTTCCCAAGATTCGCGTCCGTTTTGCGTGCGTTTGCCGGTGGTTGCGTCCGTTTTGTGGCGCGAAAACTGCAGGCTCCCTCTGCAGCAAAGCTATTTGGTCCCTAGAGCAGCAGGCTCAGCTACCCCGAAAATGCCAAGGGAACGACACTCACTGCTTGTGCGAAATGTGTTTGCTTATCACACAAAATCTGCTCGAATGTGACAACGACCAGTTTTTGAAGGCCACTTCCGGAAAAAGTAGTCAACTGCCCTTCAAAGAGAAAAGAAGCTGTTCCCAAATCGCACCACGAAACTCACAACGGAAAACACGTGGGGGAATCTTCTGAACTGAAACCTAGCTGTGCCCAGCGCTTGAGCCGGTCAATCGCCAGGCCACGTTCTCTGTGTATGCCTTGTACTTCTCAGGGTTGTGTTTGGTCCTTAGCTGAAGAAAATCACAATCGACGGCAAGCTCTTGACTGTCAAGTGAAACGCGTATGCCATGTCATAGCTCATTCCCATATATGTGTCGTTGCCCTGGATGAGTCCCTGGACTAATGGTGCGAAGCACGCGTTGCAAATATGTGGCTAGGTGGTCTGCAACAGTCGAAAAGGCCGCCGTCATCTGTGCCCCGGTCCATGGGTACATCTATGTACCGTACAAACTTCCCAAGGCACGTTGCACCCCAAGACGCCCCGCATTGCCTTCTGAAAGGTTTCAACAAAGCCAGGAAAGCATGAGGGGGGTTGCTGGAAATTGGAGACTCCTCCAGTTGGTTGTTCTCCAATTGGACGGGGGCCATATCTTTGAAACGCACCACGGCCTACCACTGGGTTGAAAAAAACACAAGTGAACACAAGCCCTGCAGGGACTGGGATTTTCCAAATACCCAAGCCTCAAATGCTGCGAAGCGGTAGGACTTTCGAAGTGAGCCTCGAAATGAGCCTCGCATGGTCAAACTTCCAGGGCCTTTCTAAAACCCCGTGATTCTTTTCAATCAGCCCCACGGGATCGGTCGAAATCGACCGCGCAAAGGCTCGTCCTCCTGTGATCTTCGCAGTTGTGACACACCTCCAGAATGCAAACATAGCGCCGGCCACCTGGGCGAAGCACGCCACTTCGCGCGAAGTAGCGTGGCCCAGTCGAGTGAAAGGGGGCTGAACTGGGTGCGGTTGCTCATTTGCTGCGGGTTTCATGGAGAAATAGGAAACCCCTGACCATTTGCTCGCCCACAGAAGTGGTCAGACATTCTACTATGACCCGGAGGCAATTTGTTGTAGCGATGAAGCCACAACCCCATTCTAATCATTTAGCCCCTTATGCTGCTCACCGTAATGTTCATCCCTCTTGATGGATGTTGTAAGGGAAAAACAACTTGAGCTCTCACTTGGCAATCGCATCTGTCTGGTAAACAAACTGTGGCTCCGTCGGGCCCTCCAAGCAACGCAACTTAGATCTCAGGGTCTGCATTTGCCTAGGCGCAACCAGCCACCGTGGTAGAATGATCTTGGTGGAACCGACACTCGCTTTTGCGTTGTTTCCGTGTGTGGTTGAAAGCAAGCCAGGGCAAGCACGCGAGCTGAAATCCACTGGGGGGATGGATTCGAGGAGTACGGGCCTGTCGTGCAGCCGGAGCGCGGGCCACAGAGTCGCGCCACATATTTTGCAGCAGCTCCAGGAGTTTTGGTGGCACACTGCAGGAGGGCGAGTCTGTCCTGAGACGCGATTTGGTCGGCTCGAGGCTCTCGGTCGAGCCGCCCTGAAACTCCGGTTTCGGTTGGTGCGCCTGAACCTGATCCGACCCCCTGCAGGAAGTGAACATTTTAGTGGTTCAAATTGGAACATGCGGGAACAAACGGCTTGTTCAGTGTGTCAATGAAATAGCAAACCCTCCTGCCTTTTTTACTGAACCCGATGAGTGACAGGAGTCTCACGTTCAGTCTCCCTGCAAAACCTCAACACGCAAACTATTTGGGAGGTTGATTGCAATCAAAACTACTGCATAGATCCCTATATATGTTTCCTCATGACACATGCTCACAGGCTCACATGCCGGCTCAAAGTGAGAGCACACACCACGGCCCACGATGATTTAGGGCCCATGCGTGCTTGGGTCCGGTGCCTGAATGCTCATGCGGATGCATTAGCTACTTGGCAGAACGCACAACGCCTGCGGGCGTTTCAGCAGATCCGGCGTAACTTGCGGGTAAGCCGTAGGGTTGTTCAGCAGGTACACGAAGTCAAGGTTGGGGAGCTGGCCATGAAGTTGCAAGTTGAGCATGGGCAGCGGGCCCCGATGCAGCCGGCTGGCTCTGTACTCCAGGTCAGGAGCCAGCGATGGCCGTCCGAGGGGAGATCAGCCCTGTGCCGGCAATTGTGTGGGAGAAATTGGTCATGGAGTCGTTCAGGCGATGCAAGCTGCGTACTGTGCTGAAGCTGCGCCTAAGTGGTGCAGTACTTTGCAGCTGCTTCTTGATTTCCAGATGTCCACGGGTACCTACGGGCCGAGTGCAGAGTGGTGCTTGCATACATCGAGCGACCCGCAGAGTTGTGTGTGCCACATCCCTTGCGCACCCGCATGCGGTGGTTTCTGCAGGTCTTTAAGCAGGTCTTAACCAGCCAGCATGTGCATGTCTCTTTTGCTCGGCCTAACTCTGAGGCGGTGCACATGTGGACCAGATGTGTTGCGTGAAGGTGGAAGCCAGAGCGCCACCGGCGTGTGGAGTGGATCTGTAGGCATGTACAGCATGGGGCTATCCAGAGGGAGGGACATGAAGCTAATGCACTGCCCCGGGCGGGCAGGTGTTGAGCACGGACTCCACCGGTGATTCAGATATCACGCTGTGATATGGGCGTGGTCCGCATATGCCGAGCACGTGCAGGCGGTCGAAAAGATGGAACAAGCAGTGTTTTCCTTTCTCTTCGGAAGTTTTTGAATTGTGTGGCAGGTTGGGCGATTCAACCCCCACTTCAAACAAAGCTCAACATTCGTCAAACAAAAAATGCAAATTGTGTTGGTTTACCTTGGGAGTCACACGCAAACCCCGTGCAAATCTGTCAAGCCGTAGGCGCAACTATTTCTCATTCGTGGACCTAGGGGTCTGGGGTAGGGTGGCCATCCCGAGGAGGATGCGCCAAGGGTAAGGCCCTGAACCCTCTACATAGTGAAAAAAGGCGCCCCTCTTGGAGTGGTTGTAAGGGAAGACCAAAAGGAAATGGTCCATTTGTGTGTGGTACTCCTATTTTAAGACACACCCATGGCCGTGCCAAAACACCCCTCCAAGCCATGATTTCTTTGATTTCCCGAGGTCCATGATGCTGGTGAGATCATTCAAAGGGAGCCGAATCGGCTGTTGGGTGGGTGCCTGGAAGACGTCGAATCGGCAAAGATTTCGGTTCAAATCTGCCGCAGCTTTTGCTCATCCCCCAACCGAGACTGCTGAAATTAGAAGATAAGTTAAACAACTAGGTCCTCCAATAGAGAGGTTAGAATAAGGGCACCTTTTTTTTCTGTAGTCTATCTATTTCAGTAGGGGAACCACTACTGGAAGACCTAGACAATAATTATTGTAGAAATGAGGAATCGCCCAGGCAAGGCTGAGCAAAGATGTTGGCTCATTGGGACACAGTGGCACCGTTCGTCCCCTGAGCACTCGAGAAAACTGGCCAGAAAACAGTTTGCAGCTTTTGGGCGTTGACTCCAATGGTGAGGCACCCCAATGAACAGGCCAATTGAACTCATGACTTTCTTCCAAGCTGGGGGGGGGGGGTTGACTGGGTGTCAAAATAGGGGGACCCCTAAAATTGGTGGTCTGCCTCTTGGTGTCCATTCAAATCAGCCCCAAAAAAAACAGCCCCGCATCGGGACCGCGACTCGGCCGGTCGCGGGGCTGAGCCAAGGCGCGCAACCTGCGTGCAGTATGCCTCCTCCGGGGGCACGAAGCTGGTCTTCTCGAGGTGGTTCCACACCTTGGCCAAAACTGCCGATTGTTACCCTCAGAAAACCCCGAATACAGGAACAGGGCTGTGGGGAATGACAGGAAGTTCTACAGGAACCCCCTGATTTTGGTTGGAATTTGGCGAGTTTCCTGTAGAATTTCCAGTCGCTTGTGTCTATGATTCTTGGCCGAAAAATTCTTGCCGAACAGGGCTGTGGGGAATGACCAAACCCGTGATACAACAGAAAGGGCTTCCCAAAGACTAATTTGTTATATAAAGTGGGATGCCATGGGATGCCCTTGTATCACAGAAGTGGGGAGAACCCCCTCGATCCCACAACCCTGCTGCCGAACGTTACCCCCAGAACCCCCAGAACCCCCCCCCCCCCCCCCCCCCGGCAGATTCGCAGGGGGTGACAAAAATCGTCAAGATTCAACCATCCAGGAATTGGACCCGCAGACTCACATGGGTGCGAATCTTAATGAGGGGACATCTTTAGGTGGGGATTTATGACCAACCATTTGAGAGGGGGTTCCCCACTAACATTCATAGCCAGAGTATGGGTCAAAATTCAACCAAATCGGACCGCAAGTTTTAGTCCAGGTTTCCATTTACCAGGGCAAGCCATTGTGGGAGCTCTTCTTGAGCCACACCCGCATGGAATCCCCAAACGCCACCCTTTGGCGGAAAGTACATAAAGGTTTTGGAGCATAAGAGGTGAGGCACCAGTTTGTCAATACGGAAAGGTCGTCCTTTTGGACAGCCCCCAAGCAGAAAGCCAAACAAATGGTGCCCGCTCAGCTCCTCGTCAATGCTCCTTTTGTTGCCTACCATGCCTACCCGAAACATTTAGAAAAGGAACTCTTTCTAAGGCAGCCAAACAGACAGGTTAACATGAATTTAGGGTGAACAATTTGGTTGAAAAGAAACCCAAGAAGGACATGAACGCAATCAACAGCAACCAAAAGGAAAATCGGTTTCCACTCGCCGCACAGATGCTCACGGGTGATATGGATGGGCGGCTTCCAGGACAATCCGAGCGCATGCCCGTGAGACCAGCACTCCCAGAGTGGATCGCCCACGCTTTTCACATTCTGACCCATGGCTCTTGGAAGAGGGTGGCTGCCCGGCCCAGAAAACTCCCAACTCACCGAATGCAATTTAATTGCACGTCACCGGCAACTTGGACGGCCACTCTTTACCGACTCGGTTGCCGTCGACTGAGTTGCCGTCTCCTTTGACTCGTTACAGCCACCAATATGGCACCCTCACACAACAAATGCGCAGAAACTGGAAATCACATGCTGCCAAGAAACATGGACTGGGGGCGGGCGCTTCAACTGCTTTGGCTGCGCCAGCCGCGCCGTGATCCGCAAGGGTGTGGATCCGCTTGGCTGGCTCCTGGCGAGGCGAGGCGAGCAGCATGCAGCACGAGCAGCACTCATCCCTGCCTCCCCTACCATAAGAGAACCCAGCTGCAAATTCTGTGATGCCCAAACTCCTCACGTCCTTCAAAACAATTTTTTGCAATCACCATATGGAATCCCAAACCAATGGATGAACCTTCCCCTAAGGGAAGCCAACCCCTCCTCCGCTGTTCTGGCGACGTGCTTGGAAATCCTGTTGCCTCCCTGAACAAAGACAAACATCGCATGGCAACCAGCACCACAAAAGGGGCAGGGGTCACTATGGGTTCGAGACCTGAGGTCACGTCCCCCGCCTGCCCAATTGCATCTAAGGCATGTGTCTCTGTGTGTGTGTGTGTGGTGTGTGTGGTTGTTTTTTGGGGGGCTGGCATCTTAACGCTACAAGCGGTGTGTCCTTGCAAGGGCGTGACTGGTGCCTCGAAGAGTCGGAGAGTCCTTAAAAAAAGGGAATCCCCACCAAACAGGAAGCGTGACTACATGTGACTACGGTAACGGCTGAGGCTGCCGTTGATACGTTGGGGGTCAACGCTGAGTCAACGCTGCCTTGCTTCCATTCTGGTTGGGCCCGGGATTAGACTGGCTTCATTGCCCCGAGAGCCACCCTAAAGGGACGCCGCTGCATGAGCGGACCCGGCGGAATGGATGTCAACGGAATTCGCTCTGGGAAGTACCGCAGCTTCTTGGGGCCCAAAGCTGGTGGATGCTTGAGCAGCTCTGCAATCCAAGTTTCCACGCAACACCCAGTAACACGTGGCCGAATAGATACCGGAACCTCCATGACCCTGACTTCATATGACTTCAGTTCCTTTGGCATCCCATATCCCCATGTCTTCTTTGGGCTCTTAGCCGTTGACCGTAGTCCTCTTGGCCGCACAAATGCCCTCAAGCCGCTCAGCGCTTGAGAAACCTTTTGCAGTGCGCAGGACGAAACCTGTGAAGGATCCTGACTACAAAGCACGTGGCTATGGCGAGCAGCACGTCCCCGGTGTTAGCGGGGATTTATCACTTCTGGAGGGGATCACCCCCCATATCAATAAACAGGGGTTTGTTCATCCGGGGTCAACACTACACATTTGCAAAGTGCGTCCTGATGCTTTGATGCCCTCGCCCCAGGGCTTGTGCACGGTCACCATTTACGCGCAGGCGTGCAATAAATTCGGCATATGCCCTGTTGGCATTCTCGCGACATGGCGGCTGATGAAGCAAACCTTCCATTTGGTTAAGACATGTTAAGACCCCTGGGAAAATGCATAATTCCAGTAGTGATAAATTCGTTTTAAAACCAACACGGGAAAATTAAAAAATACTCCACACTCACGAGCTTATGACCGTTACAACAAATTCCTCTGCATCCTACAGTCCAACACCAAACGGCCCTGTTGGACAATAAGCAAAACCGACTGGCGAGCTGCTCTGGCGGGATACTGGCGGGATCCGCTTCGGCTCGATACCGGCCGGATGCTTGGCAGGATCACGGGATACTCAGTGGGACACCGGGCGGGATCCGCTGGCGAGCTGCTCTGGGATGGTCAGTGGGCCGGCAGGATTTACTGGCGGTGGGATACTTGCCACTCACAAGCTACTCTGCCGGATACTCGGCGGTGCTCTGGGATACTCAGCAGGATACTCGGCGGGATCAGCGCGATCCACTGGCAGGCTGCTCTGGTGAAATACTCGGCGGGATCCACTGGCGAGCCGCGCTGGCGGGATACTCGGTGGGATCCACTGGCGAGCCGCTCTGGCGGGCTCCTCGGCGGGATTTACTGGCGAGCCGCTCTGGCGGGATACTCGGCGGGATCTACTGGCGAGCCGCTCGGGATACTGCGCGGGATCCACTGGCAGCTCCTGGGCGGGTTCCACTGACGAGCAGCTCTGGCGGGATACTCTGCGGGATGCACTGGCGAGCAGCTCTGGCGGGATACTCGGTGGCTGGCGGGGGCGAGCTGCTCTGGCAGAAGCATCGCAAACGCGGATTGCAACGTAAAATCTAACAACCCCTTCCTGTCGGGTGGAGAAAAAAAAACATATTCTTAAGCAAATGGAAGAAACAGGTCAATGAAGTTAGCCCTGGAGCTCCACTAGGGTCTCATTCATCAACCGCGAGCAGTTCATCGCGCTTGCAAACACCCGATCAGCTCTTCTTCAGGAAGAAGAAGTACTGCTCCAGAAACCGCTCCTTAATCTGGCTTGGCTTGAGTGAAGAAGGAACTCTCAAATGAGAGATAGGCCAAGAGCTCCCTTCTTGGGAGCAGGACGCCCGAGCGGGCAATGCTGATTTCATCGCACAAGAGCCAAGCCACCCAACAAGCGAGAGAGAGAAACCATAAGAGAGTAGATGTGGCCCCCCAATTCAAATCATCCAGAATTGCCCGCCCAAATAAACAAAATAACTGCATATTGGGATCTCCGCAACATCGCTCCAATCAACAACTTTTAAGATCCGATTTTTGGATAGGGATCTGTCGTGTCATGAGTTCATGAAGCGAGAGGCCGCCCAGTTCAAATCATCCAGTCTTGCCCAAATCAACAAATGAACTGCAAATTGGGATCTCCCCAATGTCCTGCCAATCAACAACTTTTAAGATTTGATTTTTGGATAGGAATCCGTCATGTCCCAAGTCCATGCGGGGGTGACCCCTCTCCCCCTCGCTCAATCAACCATCCGTAAGGCAGTGCCCATTTGCCCGGTGACCCTGACAAACAAAGGGCACTCTTTTAGGAGTTGACAAAAGCCAAAAAAGGACAAGTGGAGAATCCACTGAGCAACTGACTTCACATGGCCCACGAGCCCCAACGGCCCTTGCCCACAGCAAAGAACAAAGTCCAACCAACGGTCGGACTGAGACCCTGCAGAAACAAATCAGTTGGCCGGTGAGTTGCAGGAAAAGTCGTACAAGTTGACAGGTGTCATGGAACGACAAATGCAAAAGGGTACCTGAAGTAAAGACGATCAACAAGTTAGACAGGCCGAACCACAGGTCCAAAATGGTTTCCAGAGGGCACCTGAGTGCAAAACCCTTTGGCATATGATGCCCGATGTATAGTGGTCATGTGTACTTCATCTGGTTTGGGGGTAGCTGGCCAGACTTGCCCAAATGACCAATGGTGATCACGGTCTTGGGGCCACATAGACCAACAGGGACACCAAGAGGTCAGATCAGGTCGATTCGCTTTGGGCAAGTGAGTCATAATCAACACCCGGTAGTAAAATAGTCTACCCAGAACCGTGTAAAGAATTAAGAAGGCGGCCGCAGCTACTTATGGTTGGGATTGTCCCTCACTAACCTTCATCTAGCCGGGATTTGATTGTGGGTCAAGTGAGCAAGAGAGGAGCAACATGCAAAAGGTGAGTAGGTGTTGGACGTCCGAAAACGATGGGCTGTGCGAGAGGCCACGCTTTTGCACTGCCGCCCCAAAAACATGAAGTATGATTTATAAAGCTACCAGAACAGGAAGAGCAAAAGGGAAAACCGGCTCCCCCCTCTCAGTTGCCCAAAGGACCCCAAAAACCTCCATTTGCGTTTTCGCCCCCTGGAAAATACCAAAAAAATCCAGTAGTGAAATCGATTCCCTTTAAAACCAACAGGGGGAAGAAAAAACAAGATTCTTAACCTGAAATGGAAGAACATTTAGAAGGTGATCACCTCGGACTCAAGGCAAACCAGATCCGTTCAGATCCGGTCAATCCGCTTCAGTTCGAACTTCGCTGGAATTAGGACCCCAGCCTAAAAATATAAATAAATATATATATATATATGTATATATATATATATATTTGCCTGGTTAGGTGGAAAACAAAAGGGAAGCCCCCAAGAAAAAGCGGAGAAAAAAAAGGCGGCAACAAGGGGAGCTCTAGTTCTCTGGTTTTCGCGAGGGTCTATGTGGATGGCGCCCTCCGGAGTGATCTCGGCCGCCACCAGCCACTCATCCACCTGAAGCGGATGGCCGTGGCTCTGTGGCCATCGAAATGAAACCATCGGGGCGGGCGGGAGCCGCAGGTTTTTTTGGTCCATGTGTCCACTCACCGATCGGGGAATCAACCCATTTTGGAATTGCCGGTTTTTTGAATTCGCCACTGCCGAATGGGGAAATGTGAGAAAAGAAAAGCAGGCCCTGAAATGGGTCTGTCTCACTTTTTTTGCGCGGGGTTGGAAACAGAAAGATGGTCCGAACTGCGATTTTTCGCCACTGAAATATTCGGTCATGCCGAAAAGGAGAAAGTTCAGGAACGCAGGAAGTGAGGCGTTGCTGCTGTTGGTTTCCCTTCAGATCACCCCTAAACGGGATACCCTCAAAAGGCACACCCCCATGTCAAGACTCACTTCCCTGCAAACAAGTAGCCAAATTGTCCAAAAAAATGGCTAAAGCCCAGGACTACAGAAAGTGAGTTAGGACTGGTGCAAAGATATCACCAAGGATTCCAGGAAAAAAGTGAGGAGATGCATCAGGGAATCCAAGGTTTAAAGTAAACTCCCCATTAATTCATGGGAAAAAGGTCCCACCTCTTAGGGGGGAATCCAAGACACTTTTGGGGTACGCCCCTCCTTTTGATCCGCAGAGTTCATTGATCCGGGAAGGACACTAGGCCTCTGGGTGTTTGATCTGACCGCCCTTACCTTTGGAAGGATGGGGTGGGGTGATTTGGCCCACAAATCAATGCATGTTTTCAGTCGTCCAATCAGAAAGGGGAAAACGGAACTACAAATGGCAGTCAACTCAAACAGGAAGCCCTTCAAAAATGGTTTGTGGACAAAAGCTCCCCAAAGCAAAAATCACAGCTTCAAATGGACATCTCCACCCCAGGGCTGTCCGAGCTACAACCCTAGCGACAGAGTGTGACTTTCAATTGCTATGAGTGAAACCTTTTCAGTTCACACCCACTAGCCTTGCACAATCTCATTGTGTTGGCAATTGGTGAAGCTCCAAAGATTGCACCTGCTGGTCACACCTTTGCCTCCTTAGGTGCGAAATCCC